GAAAAACAAGGATGTATAATGATAAAATTTGGGTAGGTAACCAATTGGCCTACTGTTGTCTCAACATCCATTAGCTTTAATTGCTGGAGGGATTGATGTACTTCACAACACAGATGGAACATGCAGAGTGCCAGCCAAGGTTTCTGTCACCCACAAGACTATGGCAGAGTCTGTGCTTGGCCTGCCTCTCTTCTGCTATGCCATCGTCCTCCTGCAGCATTAAATGCACTGAAGGACAGCTTAGTAGCATGACTGAATAAATGGTGTTGATGCACCATTACAGTACAAATGCAGCAACTCATGTAATCAGTGATCACTTGCTCAGCCTGTGTCACAGCAGCCTGGCTTGCGTGGATCTGAACATTTCACTGTATTCCTAAGGTTTGTGTAAGGGTCATGTGAACTGGAATGGGAGGAAACAGTCCCGTTGCTCAGCCCTTGCTCTGATCAGGTAGAATGCAGCACCAGTTCAGAGACTACAATGCTGGGCCCCAGTGAAGATGCCCATTTGGTCATGGGCATTTTTATCAGTGGAAATAAAACTGGTGGTTTATTCCAGAACAGTTTTTTTGTCAGCATAGCAATGATGTTACCTCTTTATTCTCATACACTAACAAATATCACATTTCCTGGGGGTATGTTCGTTTTGCCTTCACACAAAAGTTCTTATGTGGTAACACACACAACAGAGCTCTTTCTACTAAACAGTGCTGCAGCTGTAAATATACACAAATTGCTTGAAGAGAAGCAATACTAATCTTACTTTCAGTAAGTTAGACAGAAATATGGGCTGGCTGAATCCACATTCTTGGGGAAGATCAGCAAGGCAGTGTAAAGGAAGATTGGAAGCATGCCATGAGCTCCAAAGATTTCCACAGAAAAGACGAGTGAAACAAGGAGGGCCTTTGCTAAAAGAGTGGATAGAGAGTAAGAAGGGCTTAAATGAGCACAGAGAGGAGGATTGAGACAGAAAAGTGTGGAATGTGTTACAGAGAGGGCAAGTCATGGGGGACAACAGAAAAGTACAGGTCCTGAGCCTGAACCTGGAGAAGAGCTGCTGTGCTCTTCTTTTCTTGTGGGGAAAAACAGACTGGCCTCCAGAATGGGAGAGAGCACTTCTAGATAATGTCGACAACATGATCCTAGATGTGAAATTGAGACTTGGTGGGTACCAGAGCAGATATTTTTACCATGAGAGGAACTAAAAATTTAGGAAACAAAATTGATACTGTGAGGAGAATGATCCCTTGGGATGCATCATAAGGATGTATTGAGGCTGTCAGGAGTTAAAATAGACAAAATACTTCTATGGCTGTGAAAAGGGCAATGAGAATGAAGAGGAAATTGATAGGCTGATAATTGATAGGTTGATAATGCTTGTTAATTCTGCATGTTAATTATGCTCTCCTTGAAAAGTATGGGCAGGAGTAACAAGAAGTAGAAGCAACAGGCAGCACATAGATTTTCTTCTGAGGGGGGAGGGGGGTAGAATTTATTTAAATAGAAGAATGTAGTTTAATATTGTTAGAGAAAAGAGTGTTTATTGAAGGCAAAATATCTACAGCATTTCCATCATGCATGTTTTTCAGTGACAGGTCAGAAAAAGGAGCAGAGAAAATAGGGATGGGGTTTGAAAGGTCTGAAAGCAGATGACAACTCATCAAAGCTAATGGACCAGAAAACATGAAAGGTCCAAGTGTCAATGTGAGGGAAAATGAGCAAATGTTGAAAGAGATCAGATCAAGGTTGAAGAGGGAGAAAGTGTCTATAAAAAAAAAAAATATCAGAGTGCTGCTTGATAAAATCACTCATAGGAAAGACACCACTGATGAGAAGAATGAACCAAGACTGAACTTTGTAGAGAGATATGAAAGCAAAGAAATATGCACTTAAAGACTGGATGTATCATCATTGTAGGAGTTGAAGTGGTTATGGATGAGTTGGGAAGACTGAAGGACAGAGAATTAGCAAGACTTTAAAGGGTTGATAGGTGTGGTGATATACAACAGCAAAATTAATAAAAAGAGAAGCATCAGATACAGTTTGCTCAAAAGCTGGGATAAAATTTGGAAGAAGAAAAGATGCAGAGAGAAGCCTGACAGATCAAACACGGGTGGATTAAGCTGGAGAATATGAAAATAAGCAAGAAGGGACAAAAAGAGTTTAAAATAACTGGGAAGTGGTGGGGTAACTATTACGGACTGTCTTCCCAGAGTAAACAGATGTGTCCTCATCACAAGAACCATTTCACACAGGTATTCAAGTCGGTAATTTACTTCTCTGATATCAGGCCACATGTTGCAGTGTTTTTGTCTTGTTCCCTTTTTATAGAATGTTATGTCAAAAAGTACCTGTACTGACATCTCGTCTAATTTCAGGAAAAAAATCTTGTTACGTGTCAATCACCAAATGGCATTTTGAATGAAAACCAAAACGAAAATATATTGTTATATATTCAAGGATGATTTCATCAAAATACTCTTAGAACAAATGTTCTGTGGAAATGTGCGTGTATGTTAGTTTGGTAGCTTAGGATTTAGGAGCTCTAAAGATGAGTGGTTAAATTGTCACCACCTCTGTGACTATAGAAAATGATATACAACTATAACTAAGTTGTATATTGATTGGAGATTGGACTACAGGAATATAAATGCCTTTAGAAGCCTTCATATGCCAAATGCATCAACTGTTTGGCCAGAAAAACAGTATGTCTGAGAAACAGCCTCCTAAATCCACTAAGAAAGGACATCTGGGCTAGGAACACCCTTGATTTAAGGAAATATTGTATTAGCTGGACTTTTCCTACTGGAGAAGGCTTTGAAAATTCTTAATTATTTGCTTCGCATACTCAGATATATTGCTTTAATTTTTCTTTGCATTTTTGTACAATTTATGATACACCTTCCTTGAGCCCTTTAGTGTGCTTTGTCTAATCTTGTATCTTTCACTCTATAGCCACCCAGGATTATCCACAAAATAGCACATGGCCAGTACTTTACATGTGCACTGTAAAGCAAGGCTTGTGTGGAAACACACCCTCTGGGTTGAAATTCAGGCAGGCAACTCAAAAGCTGCACGCGTTCTGGGATCTGCTCCTATTAGTTGACATTGCCCAAGTTTTGGTTATGCACAGAAGTTAAGAGTCATGGTACCACAGTAGACAGCAAAGATACTTCTAGAAAACGGAAAAGAAATTTCTAGACAAGCTCTGGACAGAAAAAACTCCACCCCACCCAAGAATAAAAGGCTTACTGGAGAAAGTAGAGCTGGTAGAGTTAAAAATCTAATTATTTAAAAAAGAAAACAATTTCCAGAGTCAGAACTCTTTCTCATTTTTCTTTTCCCTTTTATGTCACTGTAGTCATGTTCAAAGATGGGCCATTAATTCTACTTACAGTGAGTGATGGTCATTTCAGCTGCAATGGTGAGGTCACTGATTTATGGAGGTTATAGCTGAATTTGGGAACATGAGATAATGGAAGAAAGTTGACTGACTTTTTTTCTGTAATTTGAGCACACTGGTTTCCCTTTAAACAAGGATTTTTTGAAATTCTGCTCCAGGAGCCCTTACAGGAACCATTAGTTCCAGCTGAGGAGCAAGACTGATGTTGAATAGGAGTCAGAAAAAAGGGTGGAGGTGGAAACAAAAGGCATAAACAAGACTAGTGTACAGTCTGAACAGGGGCTAACATTATTACAAGGTAATGGAATAATCTAGTTACAGTAAGTGAATACAGGAACTTATGGAAATATTTTTATAGAAAAAACTAACAACAATATGCTTCATTGTTTATCTATATGTAAATCCTTGAGATGTAACTACAATATGCAGAAGTAATAATAGTCATTTTAAGTACAACCAAGTTTTAATTAGGAAGGCTGGTATTTTGCATTGCTCTGAGACACTAGAGCAGCCACGGGCAGACTTTCTGATGTGGCATAACATCAGTGACAAGAGACACAGAAACCCTCTATTGGCAGTGTAAGATTGATACAGACTTTGGGATCTGTAGATTTAAGAAAAGGGTTTATTTTTCTTTCTTTAAAAATAACATAAAAAATGGAGTTAGTGGTTCTCATAGCCATCCACTTGTCCACCCATAGTACTTCAAACCACTACTGTACCTTGGGATCTATATAGGACTGCAGGAGATCTCAGCATTTAATAACTAGGAAACATTACTAAAAATAATGATTTGATTCCTAGTTCTGAAGAATCTTGACCATTATTGTTCTGGTATAAAAAAAGGGAATGCATTTCTTTATCTTGTCCTTATTACCTGTGAAGATGTGAAGATGATGCTTGTAAATGGGTTTTCTGATCTTAACTGACAGAACTGTTCTGGTGTAAGGAAAAGAAACCTGCAGCAAGACTTGCCAGTGTGATTGCCAAACTGAAGTCTGGACTCAATGTACAATTTATATGCCATGAAGAACTATTTATCAGGAGCTATCATTTTTGCAGATACAAATTGTTAGACATATGAAGCACATCATCTCACCAGCTGCCTAAATCTGCTCTGGGAAGAAATAAGGCTAAGCTGTTAAACCCTTGCTTTGATCTGGTATATGGATTCAGAAGCTCATTGAATGATTTTTTATTTGCTTGAGCACAGAAACACCATTACTTGCTATTTGTGATGAGACAGCCTTAAAAAACTTCAGGGGCATAAATGTTAAGGGATTCCAAGCAGCCTTAAAAATGTCAGTGTGATGTATTCACTCTTTCTGTATGTGAAATGCTCACTATTGATATGGTCACTGGCTATACTCATTCTTGTCTGGTGTGCAAAGCCCTTACCACAATGGCTCAGAGTAGCCAGTTCTCTCAGGATTGAGCTGGGATTCCAGCTGTAGTAAGGAAGACTGCTTCCCGTGCTGGTGTCTGTGCTGGAAATGCTGCCCACAAGTAATACACTACCTGGTGGTTTGTTTTCCAGGCTGGTTTATGTCAAGAAGCCAAAGACCAACAATAAATGAGAAGAGACGGAGACAAAAGATGGTTGGTAGAAACAGGCAGGTGCTCTTTATTTCATGTGGCACAGCATTAGGCAGACAACCCAAGAAACAGTTTCTAACAAAAACCAAAGCTATCACTTCCAGGAACCATCCCCCAAACAAGGGTCTACTACCAACAGTGGCACTGAGATGTCCTTGCCTGTCCACTCTCATCTCCTCATAGTTTATATGCGCTTAGGCGGTATCTTAGTGGCAAGTGTCCTTTCCAAGGAGACTAACTTCCTACAATGCAATATCTTTAGACAGCGTACATACTGTGCAGGATCACCAGAGTACAATCTCCTCAAGCCATGCTAAAATATAATGCTAACTCTGGAGAGAAGGCTGTGTGATCACCTTGTGTCTCTCTGAGGTAAAACAATGCTGTTCCTTAGCTGACAACATGAGGGGCACCTGAAGGAGGATCAATATGGCTTCAGAGTTTAATTTTAAACTCCTGATGCAGTAGTGAGGACCCGGTGTGCCATCGGCCAGCACAGGGTGAGGACCTCCTCCACTCGTGACAGCCTCTGGGCACCAGCAGCACCAGAGAGCTGAGGCTACTGTCACTCAGGGGGATGAGAACAGAGATGGACTTGGACTAGGAGGAGGAGGAGGAGGAGAGGGCCATCAAAGATCACAACAGACCATCAGCTTTGCATCGGTCCTTAGGTGAGAGGTAACAATGTGGGGAGGGATTACATCATTAGCACTCCATATTTAAAGGCATGAAGAATGGCTGGTGGAAGGAAGATGTTTTGGAGACTAAGGGCAAAGCTTTAAAAGCCTTGGGATATTACTTTTAATTATTATCTACAGGTTATTCTCTCTATATATACTATTTTTCTTTCTAAATTATGAAAATAAACATTTATTAACAAGTCACCGGGTCAAATCCTGCTCACCACTGAAGGCAAATCCATTAACTTCAATGGGAGGGAGCCCCGTGTAAACAATGAAGGGCAAATTTGGCCCTTTATGTCCTGAAAAGTCTGCTTGTACCCACGGCCTTTCAATCCTGCAAGGAAATACAGATTGAAGGGTGAACTAATCATTACAAATTTCTCTTAAACTACCAGGGGAGTGTCAGTGAGATGCAGCAAAGAAGTGGGAAAAAAAAAAAAAAAGGAACCAGTAAGTAATACTGGCTTAAAGAGAATTTTATCCATGTTTCAGAGGCAAAGTACAAAAAGAGGGTGGGTCTGGATCAAGCGCTACTGGCCTTTACTTTCTAAGCAACAACAAAATTTTTCATTTAGCTTTGGTGAAATGTTACACAACCAGAGAAAACAGAAGGAACCAAACAGTCCTTTTCCTTTGCAAATGTCATATGCCCAAAGGTGAACACTGTCATCCCTTTGGATTCTCCACTAACTCCCACTGTCTGCACTGTGCAGTGTCAGCCACTGAAGACCAAACACATCTACTGTGCACATGAGTGAAACCTGTGGTGTCTTACAAACATAACATTTTGATGTTTTGAATACTAAAGACCACTAGGTGCTTTTAGACACAGAACAATACGATTTCAGATGCATTTACCACTTTTATTTCACTATGCAGAAACATACATTCACCATGTGTTGTGATGCAGCTGACAGTGTAATGGATGCTATCCCTTCCGTGGGTATTAGAGCTGGACACTAGCGAGTTTTCAGTGGACGTTCTGTACAGGTTAAGGCTTGACTCAGAACTAGATAGCAAATGCTGGCCAGATTCTCAAACAGATTTTTTTTTTCCTCTGAGAACAAAAGGGAAATCAATAGAAAACCATCACGGTTATTTCAGATTAATAATTTTCTAAAGCTGCAAACTAAGTAAAATACAGATTTTTTTTTTCCTCCAAAATAACTACATATAATTTACAAGGTTAGGATCTGTGAAGGGTGACTGGAAGCTGACTCTGAACAATGCTGACAAAATCATTAAAGTTAATATACTAAAATCATTACTACCTCATAAGGTGTTCAGTCAGGTATACAAAGCACACTTTGTAAGCATTTATATGTTTTGATAAGAGTAAAGATTCATCATTTCATCATTGTTTATTGGGCAGTAATAAAACCAGATGAAACAAATATAAGATTCAAGTTGTTTACTGAATAAACTGTGTTATTGGCACATCTAATGTGTGGTAAAACATTATACACAGTACCTATACAGCTTCTAGCATTTTCGGGGTAATCTTCATTTACAATCTGTAAACAAAAGACTTGCCACCTAACAAATTTTAATTTGTTTAGACTTTCAGAAACTGTGAAAGGCATGAACTGTTTATGTGTTACATGAGATCACTGTTTATATTGTTTATGAACGTGCAGGTAAAGCTGAAAACTTAGACATTTTAAGAAAATTAAAAATGCTGCTTTTCTGTAATTTTATTGTTGCTTCATGCAATATTGTTTAACTGCTGCTGATTCAGATTGCTTTCTATGGGAAGGTATCTCTGTCAGTTTCTTTATTAACGGTCAAGATCAATTCTTCTGTACTGAAATTTTCCATAGACAGATACAAGTCAGTCAGGTTGGAACTGAGACTCCGTATAGGTTCTCGTATTCCTACTGGTATGCATGTCTGGATTCATATGCATTCTAGGTTATTCCTGCAGAAAAGAGAACTGAGTTAATTATTCAAAGGAACGACTCTCTTGCAGAAGAGATTTTGTCAATTTGTTCATATAAGAAAAGCTGTTTCAAAATGGCATATCCCACTATAAGCAACTTGGACCAAATCCAAAGTCCACTGACGCCAATTGAAAGAATTGGTGACATCAATAGACTTTTAAGCAAGCCACATTGAGCTGTCTCTGAAACAATTAGCAGAATACCACAAGAATCACAGCTACTCACTCCTTAGTGACTGGTTCCATCTTCCAAATAAATAACTGACACTGAAATTCAGTTTTCTTTAGGGTCTGTATATCCAAAAGCAGGAGAGCCAAAGAGCTTCAAAAGGTGCTGTGCATTATACTCTGTTACTTACACCAAGTGCTAGGGAACACATATTGTTTTAAGAATAAAATGCTGCTATCGATTCAACAAATCTGACAAGCAGCTTTTTCTTCCCCTTCTGCATACAGCATTCAAAGCAATTTGTGCAATGGTGCTGGCATTAAGAGCTTCTGCATAGCAGGTTAGTATGCATGACATGTTTCTGCACACAGAATAAATATAGGAATATTGAGACGTCTGTTTAGCCAGCCACTATTGGAGAGCATGCCTTTACTGAGAAAAAGCTAGACGCAAGGAAAGCTGCATTATCATCTCGTCCTGATAAACAATGCTGCTTTAAAACATTAAATGTTCTTTCAAGTACAAGAAAGCCAAGACACCCAAATATCAACAAACTAATTCACTGCGTTTAAAAGCAAGTTGGACCATATCTTTGCAAGTTGGGAACTGAAGCATAACTTTTAACGTATCTGCACAACACATTTAAAAAGCAGCTGTGGGTTTTTCCCTTGGCATTTTTAAACAAAAATGCACACCTTTAAGAACAAATTGTTTTTGTTCTTAAATGACACAAAAGCAGACAACAGATTTTTTTATGACTTCAGAAGGAGAAAATTAGGCTATAACAAAGCATGGACAATGAGGACTTTTCAGAGAGCCAACGAAAGCAAATGAGTAATTTCTCTTTCTCCAGCTGGCACTGTTTAATGAAAGCAGATGTCTAGAGCTGAACGTGGTTTACTTTCAAGTATCAGAACTGCTAACCAGGAAATTGAAAATGCCAGTGAGAGAAAGTGAAGAGTTAAAGGTGAAATATGGTAGGAAAACAACATCTGCAACATGCCAGCCCAGTAAATGCCTAGGAAAATCATCTGGTCCTCTTACCTGTGGTCAATCCTCCCCATCTTCTGGTGTGATTTCTGTCTCTTTATGTACCACTACTTTGGTCACTGACATGTCAGGGTGCTGCTCTTTGGCTTCTTTAATTGCCTGAGCCAGCGCCTATCCCAAGGAAACCACAGAAGGGCAAAAACAAAAAGGAGGTGGAACATGCATGATCAGTAGCAAGGTGGAGAGATTTATGACATATTACACAATTTACAAATGAGGAAAATGATTAAAATATGAAATATACCATCACTGATTTAACTATTATTCCAGCTTAATTTAAGGCATGCCAGTATGAATAATATCTGTCAAAACAATGTCTAGATATGTTCTCTTTGTCAGTCTTCAGGGAAGCCTTTTTAACAGTTTGTAGATTTTACCTGATCATGATCAATATCTGCATCTCCTGTGATGACTATTCGTTTTTCAATTCTTGTCTCTGAGATGCCACCTTTCACAGTCTAGATGGGAGGGACAAAAATACCTATCAATAACTTACTTTAGAGTGCTGTTACTCATCCCCAGATGATCAGTGCAGGAACTGGACCAAAACAGCTCAAACAGCTTGTGTAGAGGGGACAACCCTGTAGTGCAAGTGAGCAGCTCTGGAGTTGGCCTGAATGCTCTGAATGGACTAATGACCTCCAGATGTCCTTTCAACACAGGTAATTTTATAATTCTAGTTAATCTCCACATGCATCAAGAGAGATGTTTATATATCAAAAATGGCTAACTTGTCTCAAGAAAAACAGAATGGAAATACAGACAGCCTCGTATTCAGACCTATTCAAGTCCAACTGCTTGTTTCAGAATAACATATGGGGTGGCATGGCCTTTGTATGGCTCATCTACTAATGGGAGAGCTTCACTGCAGAAAGATGAAATCCTGTTCTTTGTGAATATTGTTAGGAGAGCTGTCACAGCACTAAGAGAGTTTCTACTCAGGGAGGAACTCTTATTTAAATGCTACCTTAGAACCTGGAAGACACAGCATGGATTGTCTGTGCAGATGAGCTTTCAGTCTGGCTGTGGGCAGGTTCCTCAGGGTACCATCCAGAACACAGCCAAGGTGTTGGAGCTGACTGAATGTCCTGTTATGGCTATAGGATATAGATTCATTATTTGCTTTCAACACTGTGCATTGCTGATATCTCAGGGCTGAAAGGCATAGTCATGTGAATGGACCCTCATGTTCAGATAAGTTATTCCTTCCAGGCTACCATATGATTCAAATATTCTTTCCAGTTCCAGGTAGCATTTACAGCTAAATCAAGTGTTTCTGTACAGCAAGATTTTGTGCTTGCATAGACATACCCTAAGGGTTTACAATTCATGTCAAATCATTGGATGATGTGTTAATCATAGCCAAAGACAGGTGGACAAAGATAATTATATATGGTAAATGTACAACATTTTGTCAAAAGAATATAAAAATGTGTTCCCTTTTTAAAATAAATAATAGAACCAAAGCTAAGATAGCATACACACTGATGATAAAGGAGCTCCCTGTTTTCTGATGACTCACTTTGGTGATGTGTGTAGTAGTTGTAGTGCTGGTGGTTTCAGATGTGATTGTTTGTGCACTCATCAATACACCTGGTTCGGAGTCAGCACCACAATCCACCTAGAAACCAGAAGAGAAAACCAGTCACCGAAAAAATGCTCCTGAGAACAGGGAAGCAAAAACTGGACTATTAAAATTCCCCATTTCTACAGTTCTTCATAAAGTGAGTATCTTATGGTAGGGGAAAACTGCTGTTAGGGCAACCACATGTCTGTATTTGTGCATCTGGAGGCTGTCCTTTCCCTCTGGAAGCACAGATGAGAATATGGCACTTTTAAATCTGCAGTTTCATCAATGTTCTTGAAAGGCCCCTACACCAGGATGTGAGAGTGGCCCTCAGGTAAGTTATTCTTATGTACATTCTCCTCATACTAATATTTAATACCAGTTCACACTAAAGCATACACTTAAAGATGGATGAAAAAATGGGTTCCTTAAAGACACATGAAATTAGACCATGTCTTTTGCAGAATTTCTTACCTGAGAAGACTCATATGTAATGGTTTTTGTTTCTGTATGGACTACTGGCACTTCCTTTGTTGAAATTTCAAGGGTTTCCCCACCAGTGGGAACACTGCTGAAACTTATAGTCTCAGTCTTCACGACTGGCGACTGCATGAACAAAAAAGAAAGAATTGGAACATTTAGCAAAGCTTATGGATTTATCAGAACATTTTTTTTTGCTTGGGGCAAAGAAAAACTAAAAAGTGTTCTGCATTAAAAAAAAAAAAAAAGAGAGAGAAAATTATCTTCATTACAGTGGTACATTCATGTGTATAATGCTGGTGACAATTTAGCATTTCCCTGGATTTTACAAAAACAAAGACCAAAATGCTCAAAATACTACAAGAGGCAATGGTCACAACTTGAAAAACAGGAGGTTCCATGAGAATATCAGGAAACACTTTTTCACTCTGAGAGTGAATGAACACTGGCACAGGTTGCCCAAGGATATTGTGGAATGTCCTTCCTTGAAGATACCCAGAAGAAGGTCTCTGGACATGGTCCTGGGTAGCAACTCCCTCTGGATGTCCCTGCCTGATCACGGGATTGGAGCAGATGACCTCCACAGGGTCCTCCCAGCCTCAGCTGTTCTGAGAATCTGTGATTCTACATTTTCTTAGAATGACAAGAATGAATTCTGTGCAGGCTTAGTCTTTTTATCTCTGGGGAAAAACCCCTGCACAAAACAGGTCTTGAAATTCTATTAATGGGGCTAAGATAAGGAACCTGCCTATTTAAGACATAGTACACTTATTTATAATTGCACCAAGAATGGACAAAACAGTCTATTTTCTGTCTTTGAGGATATGTGAACTTTGCCAACCTCAACAGGCTTTCCCAAACTTAATGCCAGCTAATCTTGTTATCTGTTGCATAAAATGCCATGAAATTTGGTATTTCTCTGCAGCATAAAAAGCAGTTTCAAGTAAAGCATGCATGACATTTTGCTAACTATGGAAACCAGCAGCAAGCCTTGCAGATGGCATGCAAGGAGGAAATAAGAGGAGAAAAAATCCTGCCTTCTGTAAAAGTGCAATCATACAAGCTGGGAACACTTAACTTTCAATGACAGGAATTAACTTAGCCTACTATTGCCTACATTCACAATACAGCACAGACACGACCAATTTAACATCAAGTTACCTCAAAATGAGGTTTTCTTTCCAAAGACTCTGAAAGTTGGACTGTTGTTCTGTGCTCCTCTGCCTGCTCACATGAAGCAGGGGTAGCGACTCCTTCCTGTTTGGTTAGGGCTTTCCCAGCCTCCTCCCTTTTTTCCTCCTTCGCCCCCTCAGTCCCAGCAGAGCCCTCCTTCCCTTTCACGCCGGCAGCCACCGCCGACGCTGCCTCAGCCTGGGCATCCAGCGAAAGTCCGGCCACTTTAGCAGGATCCCCGCCTGCATGCACCTCCATCCCATGTCTCTCCTTGACAACTACAGTCTCCTGTACAACCTTCTGCACTGTATCCTGATCCGGCTGAGCTGCTTGCTTCATGTCACTGGAAGTTATCTCCTGAGACGTCGTCGTCTCTATTCTCTGCAGGGAAGGAGGAAAAAAAACTCTCAGCATCAGAAGCAGACAACACTATTTGCAGTAGTGCCCAAGCTTAATGTACTGTGAACATAAATTTTAAAAAAATGGGCATTGTATTTTGCCAAATTATTTCTCCCATGTTGCATGGATTTTTGTTCTCAGGATATTATCAGTATAGCAGAAATGGAAAACAAAGCAAGAAGCAAAATTTTTGGAAGTTAAGAGAAATTTCAATGTTGGTGTTCTTCTCAATGGTATTTTTGTGTGAGTTTTAAAAAGGCAAAATACAGAACCCTGCAAAATGACCAAAATAAAATGAAATTGAAGAAAAGCTGGCTGTTGCCTTTTTTTTTCTTTTTTTTTTTTTCCTTTTTGTGTTGTGGTCTGTTGAATCAAAAGAAAACACACATGAATACATGCATTAGTTATACAGTTCCATATTGTGCAAAAAACCACAAAATGATAGAAAACCAAAAGTAATTGGTGCATGGTTATGACATCGATGGAGGGAATCAAGCAGACACCTGAGCCCAAGTATGGGAAGTAGAAGTAACCCCTCCTATGAACTCAGTTGGTTTTCTGGCGGACTCTATTAAAGTGAAGATATCTGAACCATCCAAGGTTTTTTCACTGGTGGACTGTTTAGTCTAAACAGACAAAGAAATGTAGAGTCATACACAGAAAAAAGGCAGACCCATATGCACAGACATATTAATTGCCAAAACCAGAGGCGGAGACGGAGGAAAAGGAGAGAAGGTTGCAGGGGCACGGAGAGGTTGTAAACAGGAAAAGAATGGGAAAATAAATCAGAGCAAATTCATAATGGCTGTAGTAAGCAATAGTTACAAAGCGTAGTTGTTAGCATTGGCATTTTGCTGGTTCAAGCAAACAATTTTTTTCCCTTTTATTAACAAGCCACAGCAGCAATACTGAATTTCAGTACGTAAACCAGAAAGGTTGAAAGCCTTATATAATGTCTGCTTCAGACTGTGAGACGGATTCAAGGTATGAGAGAAAAAAAATAAGCTGGGTTGGCTGCTGTCAACATAAAGCCAGGCAGCAAGAGAACTGAAAGCTAGGGTGGTGTGAAGGGATTGCCTAAAAGAAGTCATGCTTTTATCTTTAAATCGTGGCGTGAAGTCAAAGCCACTTGTTACCACTACTTTTGATGCAGACGACTCAGTAACATAGTGAGCAGTAGCAATGGTAAATGGCTGTTCTCTGGAGTATCTCCACTCAGACAGTCTCTTATCTGTCCGGGCAAATGCCCCTGCTTTTACAGCTTCTCCGCCAGGGTGCTTTTCTGTTTTGCCAAGCTGTAAGCTTTCCAGTGTACCAAGTAACTTCAAATCCTGGTCCATCCTTAGTGTCTTTTTCAAACTCTCATCTTCAGGACTCTGCAACTGAGATTCTGCTTCCTTTATGGGTGTCAGAGAGTCAGACAGCTTTCTTCTCGTGCTCTGCACATCAGATCCCCGCCTGGCTTTCTCATCAGTGAGGATTTCATACTTGGCCACTATTGGAACGATCTTCACAGATTCTTGAACTTCCCTTTCCAGTTTTTGCAAAGTTTCTCCTGAAGGCTGTACTGCTTTCTCACCCTCTTTAGCTTTACTTGTCATGGTTACAATTTTCCCAGATACGGTATCATAGGACTTTCCTAGGGTGAAGATTTTCTGCTTATTCTCCTCATTGGATTGTATTTCACTTTCCAAGTCCTCAAAGCTCTGCATTAGAATGGTACTGGATTTTAATATCTCAGGTGGAAAGGCAGTTCTACTGCTCACAGTCACTACTTTGTTTGCCAGATTTTTTTCCGATTCACCATCAACTACCTCAGAGGGTATTTTGTCTATAATAACCCAATCCTCAGTGCCCTATATTTGAGATATAAAAGCTAAATTAGAATATCTGTGGGTTTGTCTGTACTTCAGGAGCACTAAATTATGAAGACTTTTAAGAAATCACGTTGCTTCTTCTGAAAGCATATAGTAACTTCTATCATTGTACCTCTCAGAGCAGTTATCAAGCAAATAAACAGAAGCACCTAAGGCAAAATATGATTTCTTTGCATATTCTCTTTCTTCAGAGGTCCATATAACATGGACCCAAAAATATTACTTTTGCCACACTATTTCTGTACTTGTTTGAAGCAAAATAGTAGGTCAGCACATAATTATAATAGTGACTAGAATCAACCTGGGCTTAAAAATCACATATTGCAGTGCTTCACAAAGCGACAGTCAAAAACAAATTACAAAAATAGGGCAAATAAGCCCATTCAACTGTACCCTAGTTGTTACAAACATGCTGTTAATGACATTTTAGAATAGTACTCTTCTGTATGTAGCCTGCAATGAATTTCCTTGTTTTCGTTAGAAAACAACACCCTTCAGGATTGTTTAAATGGAGAAGCACAACACTGCAACCTGTATAAACTAAGCATACTACTAAAAATTCTGAATGAAATTTAATTGCAGCATCTTTTTTCCTCCTCATGCAAATATGCTATGTGATTTGTTTTGATTATGCAATCAGCATCCCGTTATTTGACTTTAAGACCATAACTTCTGTATTTAACTAAGCAAATGATGTAGTTTAAAATCAAATGAATTAAAAATAACCTCTAGAGATGATGGGATACTTTTCTGGATAATGATTTGATGAGAAGTAACCAAAGTGCCAGCAGATTCTCCTTCCTGCAGCTTCTTCTCTATCACACTTGGCTAATAGAAAAACCAATAAAAATATAGAGTTCACCATCACTCAGCATAATCTAAATTCAGTTGACAATATAAAGGAAACACATTCTTGTGACAGAAGTGCCTCATTCACCGTAACGTTCTCAGTGAGGTTTATGCTGGAAATACATGCAAACTGCAAACAACATCCAAACAGCACCGTGCAAGTAGATTTCTAAGTAGCAGAGAAATTGGTCTCCATTAGGAAGCCATAAACTCTGGAGAGGACCCATTCCTTAGAATTTGGTCTCCAGATTATATCTCTGCCTGGAACTTATTAAATAATAACAATTTAAAAATATGAAAAGGGAGGGCTTGGAAAGGAAAAAAGAAAATAATAAAATCATTGCCATCTTTTCTGACTGCATTTCAATGAAGTATTGTTTGTTTTTACCTGCATTTCAAGGAATGTAGTACCTCCCTTCTGCAAAAATATGAGTTTTTCTGATTTTTCTGTTTCTTCTTTGGTCTAATGTCAGGGGAATAAATGATTTTAGTAAATGGAGGGTATAAAGTTCACTATACTTCACAGTAGCTCACATTTCTCTACAAATTATTAATCTCATGGAAAACTAGGAAACAGAACTAAAGAGAATCATTTTGCAGCACAGAGGTTTCTAATGAGAAGTGAAATCAGTGTCTCTCTATGGTGAATGCAAAGGAGACATGAGTATAGAAATGGTATGCACAAGTGTAGCACAAAACCCACTGAACTGCGTAAGACCCAGGTGTGGATGCACTGTGATTCGTTTCACTGGGGCTGATGCCAGCTCACACAGCGACCACCAATACCCAGAACCGGCCCCTCCACCTCCACTCTGGGCAAGGCTCTCTCCTGAGTTTGCAGTCCTCTCTGCTGAAGCAGACAGAAGGTGTACCCAGCCACGATTTCAGCTCTGCCTTTTTCCCTGCTGGTATCAGAAGTCTTAGGAGCACTTTTCCTACAGAGGGAGCTAACTGGTGTTCTTGTATCCTGTTGTGTGACACCGAAACCTCCTCACTTTTATCCCATCAGTGCTTTCCCAGTGCTATGAGAATAGTAAGAGTATCTCACTATCTTGAACAACTGGGAAAATGTTAAATGTAGGTAAGACTCAATTTCCCAAGGCTTTTGAGCCCACCTTTTGGGCTGGCCACTGTTGTCATTTGACCAGAGAAAGTAAGACCCTACAGAGCAAAATGGGTTTCTTGACAAACCCTTTCTAGTGACTTCAGTAAATACTACACTCAATAAATATGCCAATGGAAATCCTATGACTGGCATGATAAAAGGGTACATATTCTCAAGAGGAAAGATAGAAATTTAAAGAGAAATATGTCACTAGAAAGGGATAAATGGTTCAGCTCCCTGACTGCGAGGAGATGCACAACTCCTTTACTCCTAAAGTCTTGATTTCATCCAATTCAGGTCAGATTAAACGTTGTCAAGGACTTTGTCAATATGATGGCTCTCATGTTCTACAGCTATCTGGCTATGATCATGGAAGATATTTATATATTTTTCATCACTAAGGAAAACCAAATTATTTCCCCATCTGTTCTAAGAAACCAAGTGCAACCAGTGGCTTAAAGTCACACTGACCAAACACTCAGGTGCTATGTGCTCAAAGATCATATTTTGAAAATACATATTTTCTCTTCTGTTCTTGTTTTATTATAAGAAGGAGCTACAGGTAACAGCACTGAACATATTTTTAAAGTGGATAATGTGTAGCTTCTTTGACTAGCAGAAGGCACTACACCATCTTGACTGCTTCTGCATTTCTTAGTAGACATACAGGTACTGATTTTGACCTATGGATGGCTTCAGCTTTTTCCTGAAAAAATCCCCTCTCATCAGGACAAATGAACTGAAACCATCTCACTTACTGGGACCAAAGGAATGGCCAGGAATGTTATCTACAGCAGAAGTCGCCTCAGAGTTAGGCTCTGATAGCTCAAGTCTGTTCTTAATTTTCCAAATAAATACCTTCATTTAGATGAGGTTCTGTGAAACAGATGTGCTACTTAGATGTATGTATAATTCTTGTTCTTTTCCTTTCCAAATGAATGGTTAAATTCAGATGTATTTTCTCAGGGTGAAGCCTACATAGCTGTGTAACACTTTTATACTGCTTGTGTGTTTTAATTAAAACTGTTTATTACATTCCTAAAGTAATAAAGATGTAGTAGTACATTACTACATAAAGATATTAAACAAACAGGCTGGTGTTAAGTTTCCTTCCTTCGCAATCCTCTGATTCAGGCTCAGCTAGCCACCCTTTCCAACAGTTCCTTATATATTTATGATGATAAATGCATCCTGTTCATTGTACTTACAATTTTACTTTTTAGAAGGATAAATCTTTATTTTCAACTACAATCAAACCAACCTGCTTTTAGGGTCTGTTACAATTCCTGAGCAAGGCAGTAGGAGCAACACTAAAACTCTTCTATCCTCCCCTCAAAAAGGAAGCTTTGAGCACTGAGCCTGTATTTTTATGTATTTTAATGCAACATGACTGCCACAGTAATGCACATCTGGTGCCAGCATCAGCAACTGGCTATAAGGTGGGAGAGGAAGACGTGAGACCCCTTTCCTCGGCAATATCCCTTTTCCCTATAAGGAGAAGTTGCATGCCTCCAGGGATGCCCTTCCCCAGAGTTATGGGTCTGCAACACCAACCTCTGAGGTGAGAAAGCAGAACACTCTTTCAATTTATACTTTCCAGACAATTTTTACTGAGTTCCCTATACCATTACATCCCCCAGTGCTGTGGGCACAGAAACAAATCTTATGACCATTTATTGGTTTTTAATGCTAAAACCAAGACAAAGTCATAAAGATAATTTCTGTGAGACAGAAACCATATATGCATTCATAATAGAATAATAATAATAAAAAAACTTTCAGGCAGACCATACAAGCTTATTTCTTTTTGCTCCACTGGACTTAAGCCAAGACTCTGCGCTATGTATTTTATTGCACAACAATTGTGCCCTTGCTACCCCTACATGTCCTTATCTACCTACAGATCAAGTAAACGCCAGCTTTTAAACTGCCAAGTTTCTTACAAGCACTTCAAGACTGCACAGTGAGTAAGATTTTTTCACGCACACACACTGCGGGAAAATGCAGATACTTAGCAATCTGCATTGGGTCTTCAATGACAGCATCCAGCAGACTGCAGCAACCATCAGGTTCCTTATGGAACTGAACAAGAAGGTCCAATTATCATCATTATTTCTTCCCTATTTTCAGAAACTGAGAGTTCTGCCCTTAGTTCTGTATTTTCTTTTCAAGCTTGGCACCACAGCCCCCACCTGTCTCACTACACCACTGCTCCCAACCAGTCACCATTGTTTAAATTTTCTCTCCATCACTTTCATGGTTTCTTTCATGCATGGCTGGACTTCCTCAAGCTCACTGAACCTGTAACAACACCTGTATTTTGCACCCTCAGAGAGACCCAGTTCTGCCATGCAGTTTCCAGTGAATTCTTTATGTACACATGTATTTAGATATGTATATATTTATGGTTTCTACTCTTCCTCCTATCTTTGCTGCCTATGTTCTGAGAAAAGGGAGTGCCTCCAAGCAGGGATTGGCTTCTAACTATGGTCTCTAATCTAGTGAGAGCTGCTATAAGTAAAAATGCATAGACAAATACATAATGAAGCCTTTCAGCTCACGCTGACCTCTTCAGGCACTAGTGGTTCAATCATAGGAGCATCCTCCTGCCTTGCTGCAAGCCGAACGGGAGATGTGGAAAGCCTCTTCTCCCACTCATTAGACACAGTTGTTTCTGTGGAGGTTTCCAAGAAGGTGCGTTTCAACTCGCTTATATTGGTCTGATGTTTCATCAGATCTTCCTGGGTTTTGTCTAGATCCTAGACAGTTTTAAAAGAATAGAGCAGTTTGTGATACATCCTCAGCCAACCAAACTTTAGAGCCAAAACACACAACTTGGTTAGTATAGAGGGAAGTAACAGCTCAGGGAGCCGGGGAGCACAGCACTAACACAACACTCTGTGAAAATGTGGCATTTTGAAAGAGAACAGCATAGCATATCTCATACAAGTGAGTCTAAATACATTCTTAAAGAGCCTGTCCATATTGCTATAATTTGCACCTGATAAAGAGGCTCCATACAAACATACATATGTGCGTGGAGGCACACACATAGAGGCACACGCATATATCAATATTGATAGTACAGGTTAGAGGAGTCATCATAATCTGAGAGAAAAAATAATCTATTAGCAGGTGGGAGTACACAGTTCATGCATCATAGTGCAGATCCACAGTTTACCACTAAAACTAACACACATGTACGTACATGCACTGGTATATACCAATACCAACCTCTAACATAAGATTACTATGTTTGACATACACATTTTCACCCTGTATTCGCTTAATCAGACTATTCTGAAAGAAGTGAAAAAGAAAGGGAAAAGTAAGGGACACAGTATTGAAAGGATACAAAATGCTGTTTCTACACATTTCTTCACAGAGAACTGACAGTAACATGCTGAAAGAGGTGAACACCTCCAACATTTATACCTGAGCAACATCTAGACCTTTTGTTTCTGTACCTGTGCCTTTAGATCTCCGTCTTCCTCTTGATCCGACTGCCAGCATAAGAAAGATTGGAAAACAACACCTTACCCACTTGTATGAATGAAGGCTTTGTGAACATTGGTGAGAGGTACACACTAGGTTAGAATCCCATTTTCTCCTCATTAAAGGTTTAAGGAGAAGGAGTAGACACACTAGCTTTGCACGGTTTTCCTAACTCAGAGCAAAGGCCCACTTCTCAGATTTGTGTTTTGCTATCAAAAGGGTGTTAAACATTTCCCTTTAATAAATATTGCTACACTCCAGATTAATAAATCTTGATTTATAGAGCAGCGGTTGTACCTTCTCACCAAGGTCGCAGCTAATCTAGGACAGAACAGCAACAGAAAATGCTTCGGAATTCCGTAATTCCAGAATTTACACATAGGACATAATCTGGGCCACAGGCAAAGCTTTGCATAAACTCACCATGGGCAAACAACCTGCAACACTTTCTAAAGAAAGAAGCACTTTTTATTTGCTTAAAATGCTATTTCCCTAACCACAGTCCCTTTCTGTATTTCTGTAATTTTATTTCATATTTCGCCTGTATACATTCTTTCACGACCTATCATCTGGAATGGCTCACACATCCTGTCCACTTCAATGCCCATTTTCAAAAGCAGCACTGTAAGGACAGTGCCAGGAGCCCTGTTTCCAAGGGTGCAATTTTCAGGTGGCAAATATACCACATATTTTGAAAATCAGGTATCCATATGAAAAACTGAAATGTGCTATATCTTCTCCTCTAAATAAAGATGGCAACTAGGATATTAACATGAAATTTTGAGTATTAAACTGAACATTTTAAATTTCACAGTTGTATGATTATGTTTTACTTTCTACAGTGCTGAAGGCCTGAAGCTATGCAGTGAAAGAAGCACTTCAAAGCATCTTGTACTTCTGACTCAACAGACTTTATGCTGTTGCACTGTTTGAATTCTTTTAATGCCCGTGCTGCTATTTTATTGTTAATTTTTCATATAGTCCTAATTAGACAAATAACTCATGGGAAAATCTGTTGATTACTTTACAACTCCGTTCAAATTTATTCTATTTACAGCCAAGGCTGAATCGTCCTGATGCGTCATACAGAAAAATTTTCCTTGACGATAATTTTAAGTCTCAAATATTAATGAGATCCTTCTGAAAACCTAGAGTAATGTTTGTAGTAAGACACTGTCTTCTAGCAGATGTCAGACGAAATTCAGCTCATGTTTGCAGTTGCAACCATATTAATTATGAAAGCATTATATGCACTTCAGTGAAGTCACATAGGGTTGAATTTGCCTACACAGTCTATGTACCATGTTGTGGATATGAGGCTTCTTAGCGCAAGGAAAATATAAACATTTTACATTTCTCCTCTGAAAAGAATACCTGGACTAGCAGTGGCCATATGTGAAGATGCCATGTGAAATTAAAGAAAAAACTTAAGATATTTAAAATGTGAGAATATTCAGTAAATTTGAAAAGAGCTTTTTATTGTCTCTTCCTCACGTTCCCACTCAGGCTTCAGAGTATAAGAGCAAACAAGCAAACAAAAATCCCCAGGGCACGATCTGGCCAGCAGAAGCCACTGAGTGGGCAGCCCTGGCACGGGTGACACCACCACTGCCCCACTAACTGCACAATGCAGAGGCCTTGCAGCTTCCAAACCCAAGTCAGGAATACGAGGAACCCACGGGGAGCACTGGAAACTCAACTCTCCTAGCAAAGCTCTCCCGCTTGCAGGCACGCACATGCACACACGCGCAGGGAGGGATCCTGAGCTGCCGTAGCAGACATGCGGTCTAGCCCCAAGGCCCAGGGTCGGGAAGAGACGAGGCCAAACGCTCTCCCCTGCCATAGCTGGGTGCTGGCGACTGTACAAACCTCGGTGGCAGTGGTCTCACCATCAGCCGCAGTATCCGTCTGCTCACTGTCAGTCTATTGGGTTAGACAAGTACCCGGGTCCCGAGAGGAAGGCAGGAATAAAGAATAAACCCAGCTCATCAGTACACGCGGCTCACACGGGGAACTGTTAAACTCAACATCCCTGTGAACTGCATTAGCATTGCTTTTTGAACAACGCACATGTCAAAGAAGCAAAATAAAAATGCTATATTAGTAAACAGAACAGACTCAGAGGAAGACTCGAGGCGTACTGTACACAGTATATAGCTTTACTGGAACAAATTTGTAAGCCAAACAAAACGTTACTGGAAAAGTGTTATTTGAATAACATTTTTTTTTTTTTTAAGAAAACCAGGTAGCTTAAAAAATGGGGAAAAAAGTGACTAATATTTTCTAATCAAACTTTTCCTCCCATAATGATTTTTTACAGAAAATTATTGAACTAATTTTTGTTCTAGCCAATATAAAATGGTGGTTAAATTTTTATCTGGAGGGGAAAAAGACAATTAAAGAAAACAACCACAACAAAGCTACTTTAACAGTCATCTGACTTTCAGCCCCTCATTTGTATAGAGGTTGTTCTTGTCTCCACATTTACACACCATTACCAAGGAGTTCAAATAACTGCACCCCCAGCCCATCTACTGTCTGTCTGTGGAGTAATGGTAAGGCTCAGATCCCACTCGGTTCCAATAAAGAGCAGCTGATAATTGTTAATGATAGTAAAAAGAAAGAAAACTGCCATTAAAAGAAGAAAAAAAAAATACTTCCCATTCCATTTAAGAGTATGGATGAAAGCAGGAGAAAAACAAAAGTAACTCCCCCCACCCTCCAAACACTTAGTAGGTATGAGTGATAAAAATGAAACAAAGCACAGCATTGCACAGACTGATCTATCCCTGCTTTGCATGAAGAACATTTTAGTGAAGAACTCAAGTGTCAAAGAGAGAGTGGAGTGGAGGTTACTACAGGTTGAGAAGAGAGTTCAAACAACTACCCTGATGTCAGGTAAGCATATGGAAAACTAGTAAGTAAAGTACACCCTACTGCCCCAGACTGGCAGATCCAAGTTGTTTTGATAGCAGTGAAAGCTCTGGTTTCCATTAGTGATTTTCTGTGGTCCTTAGATAGTAACCTAGGCAGTCAATTTAAAGCCAAGACAACACATTTCATCCTCCAATCACATCAATATGAATAAGAATACAAGAACAACCTACTGGTGGATGGAATATAAGTCTTAGCTTTCCTAAGCTAAAAAATTTCCTCCAATTTTTTGCCATTTTCTAACAACTCCATTGTGTCATGAGACAATGTTTTGATTTTTTTCAATAGCTTTTTTATTCTTTGAAGAGTTTTTATTGTTTGTATGACAGACAGAAGAATAAACAAGCATTTTCCACTACTTGCTAAATGCATGAATGCAAGTCACATTAAATTTTTCAAGCCATGACCACTCTTGAGACAGACCACATTTATTTTTAAATGGAAGTATAATGTCAAAGCAGTCTATTAGGCTGGTCCAATTGCTTTCATTAAAATGCTGGAAAATTATTGCTTTATTAAAAAAGGATCTCATATCTTTATAAAATTATAGGCAATTGTAAAGGTATGGCAATAGAAAAAAAGTATGCATTGTCACTCCTGTTTACAAAAAAAAAAAAAAAAAAAAAAAAAAAAAAAAAAAAAAAAAACTAAAAAAAAAAAAAAAAAAAAAAAAAAAAGAAGCAAAGAGTAATTAATGCATCTAGGCATTTAAAAAGAATTAAAAATTGTGTCAAGGCACTGTAACACAAGTTTGGCAGATAGGGTTCATTTTAAGAACTTGAAGTCAATAGAAAATTAGCTGCTAAGGTAAAAAACACAGAAGCTAGTGAATTCCAAGGGGTGAGATTCTGTCTTTGCATGGACTAACTCCAGATGCATAGCTCAAGGTAGAACAAGCTCAACAACATAAGGCACTGGTTCAGGATACTGGCTGTAGTCTTCTGCATCTCTGTGTGCAATCTTTTGTGAACTGTGGGGGTGGAAAAGGTTCCTATCTCTTTTGCCATAAGTGGAATGAAATCCTAAATAAAGCATAAAGCTTGCTTTATTGCAACATGAATGTCTGCTGATAAGCCAATCAACAGCCATGGAGTCGAAGACAACATTACTGAGTTACTTGAAATAAAGATCTGGGGTTATCACAGAGCAGGGAATGATGAGTTAAGGCTAAGCAAGGCAGGTCTCCTCTGGAGTGAAGACTAAGAAAGGCCAGGCTCAGCACCAAGATGGGCTGAGGTACAGCTGAGGTGGGGCTAGCGGGCAGCCAAGGGCTGGAGCAGGACAGAAGGCAGCTTCTGCTGATGTGCTGTGGCTGCACCTCTCCTACCTTGTGATCGTAATTGCTGTGATTTGTTTTGCCAATGTAATGCAGACATGCCCGAGTTTAAGACATATTCACTTTCATGCAATATTTTGAACAAGAAATACCCCGTGGATTAGGCACAAGTCTGTGTTGTCTGCCAGAAAGCACTGCCAGAGTAATCACCCTCATAAAAGAGTGATACTAAAAAGCCTATTTTAGATGTTTTTATGCTCAATACTTCCTAACTTTACTAACAAAAAGAAGTGCTCATTTCTGAAAGAGGAACAGACTAACGTATTACATAAACACACTGCCTCATTATTGCCTCTAGGGCTGGAACTATATTAATGCTGTTACTGCTATTAGATTAATCCAAGTGCAGAGCTAATGCAAATTGAGACTTAAATGCTGTCTCAAAATGAGGACAAGAAATAAGACAGCAGCATTTTGGATGCCTTTTATCAGAAATTGTACATTATTTTTAGTTGTAAGGCATCACAGAGCCAAAAGCATTTAAAGACAATGTTTTTACAAGACAAATTGATGTGACTTTTGGCTTTCCATAAAAAAGAAAAATGAAATCTTGCACCAAGTCTTACAAAGCAACAGCAGCAGATGAGAAGGTTCTAGCTGGTTTATTGAAGAGAGCTACTGCAATGGACTATTGACAAGTGGCCAAGGTGGCGTTTTACATGGCCAACTGGTCTGTGATTATCTGATCTGGGTTTTTTTCTTTATATACAAAACAAAACCATACTTTTGTATTTGAAGTTGAAGAAGAAAATAGAAAATCAAGGAAAACCTGAACTCGTTATTTTATTCTGTCAACCAAGAATAATCAGGCTCCAGCAAAAACTGAGATGCCAGTTACTCTGTTACTTAAGCAGATTCCTTTCCTACTTCTGGATTTACCAGCACATCCACAGTACCCAGAACCACTGCAGACTCCTACTGTAGCTGATTCCTCTGCCCATGATGACCCTGGTGGCTTGAGGCATCAGTTTTGGCAGTGCTAATCTAACACTGCAAATGTCAAGACAGCCCACATGGCAAACTCCCACAACAGCTGCAGAACAGCTGTCCCAATCTGACCCCTCACTGATATGCTGGATTTAACCATGGGAAAACAATTTAATCTGCAGCAGAGATGGGATCAAGGCTGAAAATCAAGATCCAGGTTTTGCTGGACCAGAAAGCCTTTTCTGGGGTTCAGTTACAGCTGATAGCCTTTTGCAAAAAGCTGAGTCCATCTGGACTTTGAAACGACAAAAGCTGGTGAGGGTGCTCATCACTGTTAGGTAGCTAGTCATATAAATATAGATACATATTAATATATTTGCATGCTTCAGTAATTATGCAGAAAATTATACTTAATACTGACTATTTAGATAACTACTCTAACCCTAGTATAAACTGATAGAGGGAAGAAAAAGCTCTTTTCATTTAGTGCTAGTCACTTTGTACCAACTGACACAGTTCAAGCCAAGCCTCTTCCACACAGTGTTGTGCCTAACCCTGGGCTCCAAGCTGTACTCCCAGAATGAGAAAAAAATAAAAAAGAAGAAGAAGAAAAAAAAACCAAACCAAAAAACAACAACCCCCAAACCAAAAAATAAACCCCTTCTAACATATCAGCACAGACAGAAATGAGGCTCTGAAAGTAGGACCACTATTGCAGCAATCTAACACTGGTTAGGACTGAAGCACTGAACACGAAAAAGAGTGTGTTCAATGCCGAGGTACACACCTCTTCCTCTGAACTGTCACTCAGGTCATTGGCAAGTGAGGCACTCAAGGAGGCCGCCTTGGGCTCCAGGTAGCAGAGGCACATAGCCAGAGGAAAGGAGAGAGTGAGGGCGTATGGCACTGAGAAAGAGGCAGAGAGCAGAAAGAAAAAAATGAAGAGGAAGCAAGGCACGAGGGAGGGGGAGCGGATGGGGAGGTAGTGCTGCACACTGGCAGGCAGGAGGTTGGTTTCGGAGAGGTTAGGGAGTGACAGGTAGCCATCGTCATCCAGGAGGGAAGGAAATGACTCTGGAAGTTGCAAGGAGAAGGAAAACAGTGTTCCGCCTCTGCCAGCTTTTTGCTTGTAGCCAAAAGCCATGTCTTGCTCGGCGGAGCAAACTCGCCCCTTTCTGTCAGAGTCTGGCTCCAACTCGCTGTGTTTTGGAGCGCTCTCTTTGGGGGCCTCACAGCCTAAGGACTTTGTCCGAGTGCTCTCCTTGCATCTCCTGCGAAGCTTTGCTGAAGATACATGGGGGCCAGGCTGAAAGGATGGCGAGGAGTGGTGGGAGTCAGTGCCAAGCAAAGATGGCTGGTGACAGAGAAAGAGCAGCAAACAAGGCGCAAAAGCAAAAGGACAAAAAGAAAACTGTAATTAGTTAATTTTCTTCTGTGATGATAAATAATATATATTATATATATAAAATTATAAACAGTATTTTAACGCTACAGGTTTCCACCAAATTGAATGGTGCATGTTCCCATGCCACACACCACAGGTATTAGCGAATCACGCTTCCAGCTTACAAAAGGCAACTTCTTGATTCAAAATTTGTCTAGTCCTCTGCAGCGCAGGATTTACATAAAAGCCTCCATGGCCACATAGGGAGTTTCAGGTGTTGCCAATTTTCACTTACTGCAAGATTGGTTTCCGATCATAAAGTTTTCAAACATGAAATATATGGAGAGCAACAAAGAAGGAAACATATTTCTGGTACCAGCAGTACTTGTGACAGCATTCTTGCAGTCGGGAGGAGACACGGTGAGGGCTGAATGCTTCCCATCTATGCCTTGGACAACCTCAGCAGTAATAATTAAAATAATTCCATTATATAATATTATTATATATAATTAAAATAAATCCAAGGACTTTAATTTCCTCAACTGCAATATTTTAAAAAGAAAATAGAGACCATAAATCAAATTAAAACACATTGTTGTTTGATGGGGGGAGCAGAAATCCATTCTTCAATGCTCCTGATGGAGAAAAACTGCTCAACAGATATCCCAGCAGCCGGTTCCTCAGCACAGCTCCCACCACTGGCCCCTGCTGGGCATCACCACAGCCCTGCCCTCACCTCTGCTCACTGTGAGCCCGAGCAGGCAGTGCTGGGGCTCAGCCCCTCCCAGCCATGCAACCTGCCAGCCCCTCCATGCTGCCACTTCTTTGGCTGTACACTGAAAGAAGGGAGTTGAGACTTGTGGATCAGCAGACCCCATGCTCTCTCACTGGGGATCTGAAGTGGGGCTGGCTAGAAAGAGTCCTTGCCCCACACTGCCACGTCTTCTCATAATCAAAATGTAATCCTTTACCCATAGTGAAGAGGCAAAAATGACCCTGATGCTTTTGCTACAAGTTTTACCAAAATGCCAAGAATACTGGCTACCAACAAGCAGCATCTGCTTTGATATGCCACTTGTAGGGCATTCAACTAGCCTTTCAGGACATTTGAGGTCAAAAAACTGGTAGGAGGAGGGAGGTGATTCAGTGGAAATGGTGATTGTCATTTCACATGTTCCCTGCAAGCATACACCACTGCTCTTTAGAAGGACAAAAACCACTGTCATCACCAAGACACATACCCACTACAATATCTGCCATAACGCTGATGGATCAGAGATGCTTTGGCCAAAATCCACCAAGTGCACATAGCTGAAATGGCCCACAGTATCCACGATAAAACCCTAAGTGCCTGAGCTGCTCCATCCATATCATATCTCCCCAGAGAGCTATAATAGCCATTTCACTTTCACTCCAGGCTCCCAAAAGCAAATTACTTTAAAGCCACAACAGCATTTGCCTCCAGTTCAAGCCGGTGTTGAACTGAAGGCAAAAAGCAGATTCAAGTTTTAAATGCCAATTGCTACTAAGCCTGAATTTTACCAGGTATATTAATGGTAGGAGTGGGACATAAGCCAAGTAATTACATAGAAGAACTTCTTTCCTTCCTCCTTCATATTTCCCTTTCTCTCTTCTCTAACAATCTATCAATTCAAGGAATCTGTATTCCCAACCTAAGCAATCAGAACCAAGCCTAGCTTCAAACCACTTACAAATGTCTTTATGGGCTTAATGTAGTAAGCTCAAGTCAAAACAATGCTGATGGACTCACAGGTTTTTGTGTGAGCTAAATACACACACTAATACAACTTCTCTTTACTGTAAAGACAAAAATCCAAAGTAAATGTATTCTTTTCTAATTCAAACTATTCATTGCTAACATATTTACAGTATTAATATTTAGAATAACTTCTGGTACTTAAATACACATGGATAAAACAAAGGCAAAATGTCTTAAGGAAAAGCTGCAAACATACCTAAAACATTTATATGCCCTTAAAAGGGATTTGATTTCAAGCTTGTATTGTGTTTCTTGAGACATTCCCTTTATGATGACAGACAAATCTGTTAGCAGGTCCATGTGGAAGCAGGACTGAGGTCTCTGTAGGATTACAGAACTGAAACTCTATTTATGATGGTTTAAAAAGAACTCATCTCTTGAGTGGGGGTAAAAATCAATCATTTGTGCATATATAAGATCCATCAAATTAGTCTCCTAAATGATCTCTGAGTATTTCTAGCCATATATAAGGAACAGCTAGATGATCTTCAAAATGCAGCTGATCCCTCCATTGATTTAAATTAATGAACACTTGGAACAGAACTAGCTTCTTTTGGATGTTTTCTACATACTTGATTTTCATCATTCTTTCTCTGTGTGGAAACCAATGGAGTTTCAAGAAGACCCCAGTTAAATTTTGTAAAGATTATCTTTTAAATGCTACAATACAGCACACGCTTTCAAAAGAAAACCTCTCTCATTAGCAATTTTCAGTAACTCAATTTGTTTCTGGTTTTCAGTACCTTAACTGCAACTCTTTTTGAGAACTTGATCCTTTTGCTATGTAGCTCATCGTGGCCTTATATGATCAAACTAAAAGTTCAGGTTCTAATATTTGCATACTTGACAGTTCTGTGGCTATAAATATATATATCAAGGGTTTTTTTCCTAAAAGATGAGGGTAAGTAAACCTTACTTGTTTAGCAAATGCATTCCACAGTACACTTTCTGAATGCTATTTTACTGCATTCCTCTTCACTGTTAACCTCTATTCACTATTTCCTCCATCCTTCTGTTAGGTTTACCCTGTTTTAATATCTCAGTATATATTATGCAAAACCATGTGTGTGTGCTGGTGGTGGGATTGAAGATGATGAGGGATGACTCAAATTTAAGAATTGATAAGAGAACCATCAGTAAAAAATGCTTTCTTCAACAGAAACTTCAAACAAGTGAAGCAAGTGCTTTTGTAAGCCAGAAAAGAATTGCTTTTAACAGCAGATTAGAATCCAGAAGTTAATAGAGAAAAAATGTCCACTGAAATTCATGCAAAGAAACAGTGTTATGAGAAGTATAAGAGCAATAGTTTAAAGCACAGGGCTACATACAGAACTATTTTTTTGCCTTATCAAAATAAAAAAATAGGATGGTCATACTAAAGTCAAAATATGACTGAAAACCAGAAGAACAAACATGCACCACCAGGCTACTTCTGGGAAATTCCTAAAGAGATGTTGAATGCTGCGTGAAAAACATCAATCTGACTGTTAAACATATTTAAAAGAAAAGTCCAAGGCAGGAACTAACTTGTACAACATTATATGCAAACTGAAAGGACTGCAAAAACACTGGTTCAAGACATGCAAATACACATAGTATATTTCCTTTCACAGAACTAGTTTTATTTCCTCTTTCTCCCCCTTCCCTAAAAATTCTATGTTTCTCCAAGCACTCTCAAGGCAGCCTTGTTTAATACAAAACCCTGAAAATTCTACCTTGGTGTCATGGCGTATTGCTGAAATCGGGGTGACTTCCTCTGCTCTCTTCTTTTTGCCCTCTTCATCATCTTTGTCCTCTTCTGTCTTTTTCTCTGGAGTCACAGTGGTTATCAAGTTGGTCTGAGAGATGCCCTTTGTTGTGGCGTACTGGCCAGTACCAACCTCTGCAGCAGACACAGAATCCTTCATGTACATTTCATGGTTTTCATTCACTGATGCTAAAAGCAAATATTTAAAGAGGGAAAATCTGAAATAGCTTTTGCTGAGAAGCTGCACAAAATTAAAAAAGCTGGTTTAGAAAAACATTTGAGATAACACTAAAAACACAACTATGTCATGTTTCAGGAAACCAGAAGCATGTGCATACATTTAAATAAATTGTTTACTTCAAGCTCATAGCTTTTATATGCATACACATATATTATGGATGTGTATACACACATTACTGTAGCTAATGTGTGCATTACACAGTTGTTAAATGTTAGCAAGCCGTTAAAATTATTACAGTAGTAAAACACCACAAAAAAAAAAAGCAATGCATTGCCACAGTTATCAGGCAGGAAGCATAAGGAGAACCAACTATGACATCAGCCATGGGGGTGGAAGAGATGGTTTTTTTAAAAATCTGTCAGAATATAAAAACACAGATCAAATGCAGATTTAGTAACGTGCTGCATTACAGAAAATGACAGCATTGATATAACACAGGCAAAATACCTGATAAAAAGGAAATGTGATCCTTGTATTATTGAGTACTAAAGTCTGCCAGTTAGGTGAGCTTATTATCCTAAAAAATTCTGCAAAGTGACGACATTCAGTACATTTTAGGATGCAAGTGCTCAATAATGAATCAGATTTAAATATATAAAAGTTATTTTGAAAGAAATAGTACCTTTACAGATAGAATGTAATCAAAATTTTAACATATGCCCAGACCCTGCTCTTGATTATTGGGTAACTGTTTTCTAAACCAATAGGAATTTTCACATTTATAAACTCACTTGCATCTGTAACAAATGTCAGAGTCTGGATCACAATGTAAGCACAATGCAGAATGTTACAGACACATCTGCACTATAGTAACAACGCTAGTGAAGAAATCATAAGCATTGATTTAAAAAACCTCTTTCCCCCATTTGCACTTAGGCAAACTAACATCATAAAAATCTTGCAGAGTCTAACAAATGCTGGGTAAAGTGTTTCAGGTATCTCATCTCTTGGGATTAAGTTCAGGAGGCAGAAGAAAGCAAAGGGAGTAGAGGGAGACATCTTGTTTAGATGTTACAAACAAAATAATGCAGAAGGATAATTTCTGCTTTGAAACACATGCACAGCAATCAGGTCACCAGTTGCTTGGTAACGAGCAAGAAGCACATCAGAATTAGAATATTCCAAAATAATCAATGACAAGCAGCACCTTTAGAGGGAGAGGAAAAGGCTTGTCATGTGTACTTTTAAATCAAAACTTCACCCATCCCCATCAGCAATTATATTCATTGCAATTTGTGATATTCTGCAAGAGAGTTCACCTTTTTTTAATCTGTAATTAATCTGTGTTTAGTCTCAGTCTTCTTTTTTCTTACAAAAATAAACTGCAAAACTACAGCCTCTTTTTACTCAACAGCTGACAACAGTAATAGCTGATGGAAGTAGCTGATACTCTGAACTACAAACTGATTTAACCAAAGTCAGCAGCAGAACCATGACCTCCATGAAGCAAGGATAGAGGAAGGATGTACTATTAATCTATGTAAGTTATTCTCAATTTCAAACTTTCTAAAATAACATATGAAAAAAGTCTCTTAGTGTTCATTGGATCAGGATGTGAGGTAATTGGAATCAAGTGTTATCACTCAAGGGAAATAATAATTTCTGGGTTGTAACAGATTTAAGTGAAAAACCTACACAGAAGAAAATCTCAGATTAAACCAAAACCCAAACAGTTACTCATGCAAACCCTGAAAAAGTGTTGAAGCCTGACATTCTTGGGCAGGCACATCCATCTCATCCTTCCCCAAATTAGGGAAGCAGATATGAGGCCAAGGACAGAGGCTCTGTGAAGCGTGGATTCCAAAGGACATCCTCCAGTCAAACACTCTGTAAGGACCACAGCAGTACATTTAGCATGGAATTTCTCTGCATCCTCCTCAACCCCTGCAGTGAACGTGCAGGTACTCACACCTTCCACTCAGCCAAATCTCAAGGAGAGGAGATGATGAGATTTACACCTAATCTAAAGCAGTGACCACTGTGATGATGATGTTTGATAAGGTCAGTTGAGAGGACCTTACCCCCATCTAAGCTGCGAGACATGGTGTAACGTTTACTAGAGGACCGCTCAAAGTACGGAGCAGGACGGTCTATGAGGGCACTGGCTCTTCTCGTCTGGGCCTGCGTCCGGCCACTGTATCGAAACTTGGAGCCCAGGGTGAGGAACTTCTTTGGAGGTGCTTCTGGCAGCAGGAGCCTAAAACACACCAAGCAGTGCACCTGTTATTCCCCCTCCTCCAAAATCAGTCCACTGTTTCTGCAGAGAAGACGACTCCTGGGTACCACTCTTCATCGTAATCTGTGCCCCACCGGTCTGTGGCTGAAAGGGAATCAAGGATGCCCCTGATACAGCATGACAAAACCACTTAGCTAAAGCATTTGAAGATCTGAGTTCTTCCAAATGGGCAAGAATCACTCAGCTCCTTCATGCTTGAAAATCAGATTTACTATTTTCTGATCACCAAAACTAAAAAGGTGTTCCTTGTACCAGAGGCCTTGATTGGGCTGAAATGCGGATGTATCTCTTCAAATTTAACATGGTAATGTTATGCTCAGGACAGGGCCAGAACTGATTTCCAGTGAATGACAGGCAGTATTCATTCACAGGGCTGTAGACATTTTTCAGGTTAGAGCTCTCCCACCCTCTGTATTTTGGGTATGGCAGCTGTCTGAAAAAGCCATTCTGCTGCTACAGAGTCTATGCTTCAGACATTGATTTTTCATTAAAAATCAGAAAATATCCCAAAAATGCACACTCCATTTCTCTTTAGATCTTTTGCTGCTAAGACTGTATTTCATATGAATGTATAGACAGCCCGAACTAACAGTTTTAGGAAAGGAGGGACATTCTTCAATACTCCCAAACATTTCCCAGAGGTGGTTCTTAAGCAATGGACACCCATTCAAACTGTTGAAAATCTCACCCTTTTGTGTTTTCCTTTTAAAGTATCTGTTTAGTGAGTATCTTAGTGCAAACTAATTACAGCACTTATTTCACTAACCCACAGTTTTCTCTGTTCTTCCTAGAAGTAAAAAAAAAAAGGTGCAAAATTCCTTAGTAATCCAAAAATTACAGCTAGGGGTTGGGTATTCTGGGTGACCAAAAATAACCATGACCGACTACTGTCTGTACTTTCATATCTAATTAAAAAAAATATTCTTCTTTTTTAAACTCTTAGCCATATCCTTCAGCAATCTTCCATATAAGCTGTTCTCTCTATGCAAACTTATATGCAGTAGTGCAGCAGAGTCCTGCATCTCTTTAATTATAGCAGCTGATAATATTGTGGCACAGATAAAGCAAAGTGATTAATTAGGACCATATGGTGATTTTTAGCAGCATCTATCTGAAATAGTATGAATAATTTGGGTGCAACATCTCAAATTTTGAAAAAGCAATAACCTTCTTTTATCTGCTCAGAGGTACCTCATGATCGGAAAGACAATTTGATTTGAAGGGTTTCATCTCTGCTGACAAAACTGATATTTTCTGTTGCATTTTACATCACACCTTTAGGAAAAGAAATCCACATACCTGAAAAATGTATGATGTTCAACACACACTTTCCATAAGCGCTTTGCAGCACGATGATTTGGCAACTTAAACCCAATAGTGCTTTCAAACTGCTCAAACTAGGTAGGAAAAAAGAATAAGTATGTTTTTGATGCTGTGCATCTCTTTTTAGACAGTGTACACAAGGTTCATCTTCATTTCCTCCGTCTGTATGACCTCGTTGCAAGGGGGGATGTATATGCTCATGTACATAACCACATATATTCAGATTCTAGAGAAAGAATTCTGGGAAAGAAGCTGTAAATCATAATCTATGGCAACCTTTGAGGATCATTTCTAGGGGAAAACACTAGTAATGAGCAAGAGATTTCTTATAGTGACAGTGATGTTTTATACCCTAAAGTAAAAAAGAGATCAGTTAAGATTTGGGAGACTTCTGAGAAAACATCACTCAAGTGTTTCACTCTGTTGATTTAATTTCACTAGTCAGAACTACAGTGAGAAGCCTGGTAATAGCTGGAGGTGAGCAATTGTCCTTAGGGACTGGCTTGGTCTCACACATCTTAGATTAAGGATATTTACAGAGGAAGTACTACTATTAGTAAATCACAGTGGTTACAGCTAATTCATCTGAGGAGGATGAGGCAAGACAGGTAATTGAAAAGAGCTGTCCAGAGATAAAAACAGACCTCTTTAGATTGTGCTGCAAATTTATATATTTCAGATGCAGAAGCTGTGCCAGCTATATCTGCAGTAACATGTTGATGGATACATGCAGACAGCTAAGTAGGTAAAACACAGCTGCTATGATGGGGGAAAGGTAGACAGAAAGGCACTTGCAAGGAAGTCTGGATCCCTACAGAAGCTGACAGGGAAATAAGGCAGGAAACAACAAAATAATAAAGATGATGTGGGTTAGTGAATCACATTATCATCAAATGTAATTTGGACAGAGGCTGCATTGATTATTTTACACATGGAACTGTGGCCTGGTCACAGGATACTGTGCACCAAGACCATCAGAGCTCAACAGGGTAGCAGTGGCAGAGAGCTTGAGTGCAGGCATTGAGAATGCCAATGACTATTTGTTTGAGTTCTTAAAATTGAATTCAAGGCTAGAAATTTGGTTATTAAAACTGTGTCTGCTGAGGGGCAGGAAACATAGGTTTGTGGATTTTGGTTTAGGACTCTAAAAAAGGCTCAGGCTCAGGAGTGGGGAGCCCCAGCAAGTTTCCCAGGTCAGTTATGAAGTCAGTCCCAGAGACATTGGCTGCATTAAGAGAGAAATGCCAGTCCTCATCTAAGTGATTTCTATCCTGCTGTACAGCTCCACACTCTAAATGGATATGGGGATTTCATCTATCACAGGCCAATTATTGTGCCAGCATTTAAGATGGAAATCCTCTTTTGCCTTTGATGATACTGAATTTCTCAAGAGTTAGCATCTCATAGGCTAGGCTGGATGGAGCTTTGGACAACCTGGTCTAGTGGATGGTGTCCATGCCCACAGCAGAGGGGTTGGAACTAGATGATCATTAAGGTCCCTTCCAACCCAAACCATTCCATGACATCCATGATTTCTGGGTGAGTGCATGCTCAGCCCACGAGGTCGGTATTTGCTTCGCATCCGGCTGAGCCACGAGAGGGCACTCACTGTACGAGGTTTCACATCCCCTTCTCCAGAGCCAGAGCGGGAGCTCTCCTGGGAGAGCTCATGTGTGCAGCTACCCCAAATGCTGTAAATATACTGGTCTGATATGCTTATAAAGTTTGGTATGGCCTGTTTACATTTCTTAGTGGGTGAGATAAATGCCAGTTTAATGTACAACATGAGGGAGGATAACAAGCTCTCCATGAATAAGAAATATGCTACTTAAATGCCCAAAGTATTCATAATACGGATGAGCTTTTTATGTGCAGATGGCCATATTTATTTCTTACATTAGTTCATGGATGTAAACAGAAACTTGTTTTTTACCTGAATTTTAAAGAAATTAAATACCTAACCTTTCCTAAGAAAATCAGCATAAATTAGGAAATATGAATGGAGAGGAATGTTAAAAGCTTATAAGACAAAACAAATCAAAAAAATCAATAAAAAAATATGTTTTTTCAAGAGGCTCATCCACTTAGGAGAATCAGGATGCCCTTACCTCTCCTGGTCGGATTTTGATGTAGAAGTTGTTCCTCTTGTAGGAAATTTTCAAAACCTTTGGCCAGGCAAATCTATTTATTCTTAGTCTGTCTCGATATATTAAGAGTCCACTTGCACAGACTCCTAGCATGATTTCCACTCCTTCGGAATCCTGGAATAGCAAGCAATGCACTTTGTTGAGTATTTCTATCCTTGCATCCTACAGTACTACAGATTCCTGTATCCTGTGTTTCTATCTGAGCTATGTCTTTTTAATGCATCAGCTGTAGTGACCTGATTTCTGAGTGCTACCCTACTCACTGAATGCATTCATGCAAATAATAGTAAGGTTGGGCAGGGTGAAGGAAACTGAGGGTTTCAAATGTTTCCTTATATTTTACAAAGACTCCTAAAGGAGGAGGGAAATTTTAGATGTCATTAAAAGAAATACATCAATCATACAGCAAAGTTTTATTAGCATAATAAAAAAGCTTTATTAGCATAAATACCAGATTGAAAGTAAGTATGACAGCATACAAATTTACTTTTCCTGGTATCACTCATCACCATGACTAAGCCTTGTGAATCCTTAGATAAATTTTTCTTCAGTAGCTTGTTCACCTTGGCTTTAGTAGGTTTGCTAGTGTCTTTAATGCTCTTGTGCCTTTGCTCAGTATTTTCACTATGAAATGCCCAGTGGGCATAAAGTTGGGCATTTGGACCAGAAGGGATTATTTTTTAAAAGTTGTGTGACTGTGACTGTGCTATAACCTACATTTGCCAGGAGGTTGTAGCTCAGACACAACAGCACTGCAAAAGATTAGTCCACAATCTTATCAGAACATACCCATAAATATGTATTTTTTAAAGTAAGAAATATATATTTTTCTTTCCTTTAGAAGTCTTCAAATAGTCTAAAACCAATCTTCACTATCTTCTATCACTGTTTTTTTTGTTTAGCTAAAGTACTAGTACTGATAGAGAAATGAAGAATCCACTTCAAAGCATTGAGTTCTTCACAAATTGTTTTTAAATAACCTAGTCACAAAAACTTAAACACAGAAGCTATGAAGATATCACCCTAGGATAATCATGAAATGAGTTCACAACTTTCCTCTGGTTTTCCCAACCAACCACCTTTTAGACATTTGGTGAAAATCTGATTATATTTCAAAACCAACACAATGGTATGCATGGTCAGTCATGATGAAACAGCTATGGCACAGCTAGAAATGAAAAAAAAAAAAAAGTTCTAAAATCACAACATAGAAATAGTGTCACAAAATCACTCCAGTGTTAGAAAACACACCAATAGAGGACATATGTTCCAACAATGATGGCATCACCACTTAAAGATACATTTTTTCCTAAATATAGCTCATGTGTGGTATCACCATCAGGCACTGCAGAAAAGACAAAAGTAATTTTTTTTAGTGTACTTCAGTTTCACTTTCCTAAGCAAAAAGCAAAACCTAAATACACTGAACACATTCTAAAGTAAAAAGTTTCATTGCAGTAATCACACTGCCTGGTGAATGTTTGAAATGTAAGTATGCTCATACATGGCATGTTTCTGCAGGTGCAAGGGGCTTCTTTTTATATGCTTTCTCAAAAATTGTTGAGAAATATCTTCATCCTCCATCTTCACCACAAACCTAAGTTTAATCAAGACTTCTGTTACTTGTTGGTGTCAGAGACTGTTTTCCAATATGATACTTACAATGTAAAATGAAACCTAAATAAAAGGATTAGGCTATTTTCAAGAGCCGTGTGGTTACACGAGACATGGGTTACATGGGAACCTGCTACCTGTAATGTCTGAGGCATATCCCTCTAGCTCTGCATAAAGATAGGGTGACCTTCCTCAAAATGGTGACAGCCCAGAGGACAAGACTGTCTATCTGAACATTATTTTTAATCACAGCCTTACATTTGATAATTGAGAACTAGTTTTAATCTGAGTTGGTGAGTCCAACATCTGTCCAACACTGAAGATATTGGCACTATCTTAATGAATTGACATTTACACAGAGACATTTGCCATGGCATGACGTCCAAAAGACATGCACAGAGATACTTGTCCCCAAGCCTGACATCATCAAACCTCCCTGGCAGACCTAATTAAAACTAAACATGACTTCTCACACAGAGTCTTCTTTTCCCACCTTCAGTTCAGGTTTCAAGATGACTGTGGGGATCCTTAACCCACAGACAGACACATCTTGGTTATCATCGCAGCTTTTTAAAATAAAGAGCATCAGTTTCAAGAGAGATTGACTTTTCTACTAAATTCTCTTGCTCTGAGTCTTTTGATATGAAAAAGAAGAGTGAACCAGAATAATGATACTTTTTCAGGAAAGAATAAATAAAATAGTTATCTTATAACATCCCATCTTACACTTCACAGTTTTTCTACAATATTCTGAAAAAATACTTAGGCCTTAATGCTATGTAATGTAAAACTTTCAGTAACAAAGACTGTAACTTATTTAAAACAGTAATCTATTTAGTTGCTGGGTTTTGGACTTCTTTGCATCGAGAAAAAAGCTATCAAGTGATATTTGCCAGTTGTTTCTCTCTGCTCCAAATGTGCCTCAAGACAGTGTGTGTATCTGCAGGACACGGGGAAGGCAGTGGCATCCCTCCTGGTAGACGTTGCCCATTAAGCTGTACACAGATCCTTCACTTTCAGTGAAGGCAATTAACAGAACTCAAAGGATTGCTTTGAATTCTGTAACACACATGCACAAATCCTATGAAATGCCCCAAGGACATGGTTGCAGGCTCTTTCAAAATCCAAGCTGCAAATTTATCTCAATTCTTGAAAGGAGCTGCTGCAGCAAAAAAATGCAGGCTCACAATAATTTGACCTTTACAGAAATTGCGGTTCCCTCCACAGGGCAGAATTCTTTGGTTCCATATTCATTTTCCAAGGACGCTTGCTAACCTCAAAAATGTTAAAATCCATTAGTCTTACTCTGGAGAGTGAAGAAAACAATAGTAATTATTTATTTGGGAAAAAAAAAAAACCTAAAACAAAAACTCCAACAACCAATACAAGGCTAATAAGTCACTCTCTCCAGCCAAAGTAAGAATGACCATGTTTTATTCATAACTTAGCCTGCTGATGATTAGAGAAACTGCTTGATCATGGGAGAATGTTTCCAGGAGAATTACTGCCCTCCCTGTCAACCACAACAACCACACTTCAAGAAAGAGACAAGATGCTCTCTCCCCGTTATCATCAATCTGATTAGGTTTCCAGGACAGCTAAATAATTGCTTGAAAGTCCTTTGCAGCATAAAAATGATCTGCTATCCAGTTAAGATAGCACGGTTGGCCTTATTAAACTGGGAAATGTAGCTGAATTAAAAGAAAATTCAGTACTCTCTGGACAGTTTCTAAAATCCTCCCTCATCAGCTCATCCATTCAGTATTCTCCTCAATGACAGCATTGTTTAATCAACATGAAAGTTGATGTGCAACATCTTTGAATCTATAGGATAAATTATGTTATGGTTAAAGATATATTTATGTTTATTTCATGAGTCACCTTTCCACATGTTGACACACGATTCATCTCACAAAAATCCTGTCTCAAAAATACAAGGAAAAATAAATCAGGGAGTCCGTGCACATCCAAGTACTATGCCACAGGAGACACGTGGCCAGTGAAAAAACCAAAGTACATACCTTGGCATGATGGAGATCTACTCCATACATTGACAGTTTTTTGGCGTTCTCCAGGAAATGCATCTCAGCTTCTGCAGGTGTCATTCCCCTGTGGAAAAGTAACCAGTTCTAGCATAAATGTTAAGGAAACAGACTCCAAAAGAAAATCCAGCAGCTGGAAAACATTTTCAGCCTGTCAGAACTATAGTCATACCCCTTTGGTGGCTGGGTACCTACCAGAGCCACAACTCTAGTGCAGAACCTGTTAACTCACATGCTGCAGAGCTCTTCTCTCTCCAAAGACATGCAGAGGAGTCTTGTTGGAAAAATATTAGGTGTGGGAACTCAAAATGTCTCTCAGACATTTTTAGAGGTTCCAAGCCTTAGTCAGAGGCATTCTAGACCCTGGCAGACAGCTGAAAAACAGCTGTAACTGAGTTAGAGCCATGGAATGAGTTACCAACTTTGGAGGTGGAACAAGCAGTCACAAAAGGTTAGATAGTATAGTAAAAGTAATTACAAAGTAGAGGGGAGGATTTTTAGTATTGTACAGGGGGGTTTTAGCACATATACAGGGGGGTTTTCACTTTGTACATGGGGGTCAGAAGTTCTAAGATGGAGGAAAGTGTGCTGATCCTGTTCTTCCTCCTTCCTTTTCCTTGCCTTCATGTTCTTGGTGATGTTGGCACTCACAGATTGGTTTAGAGTAGAAAAGCACTTTGTAATATAGGTAGTAGGTATTGGGGAATAATTGTAAATATGTTATATGTAATATATCATATAAAAGATAGCAGCAGCCCTGGGCACGGGGAGAGAAGAAGAAGACACCAGATAGAGAGGATGCCAGGGTGTGTGTGTGTGTCTGCTTGGGCTGCTGATCAAACAGCCGCAACCTGAGAACATAATCTGTTAGATAACTAGCAATAAACTGCCTTGAGACCAAACAGCTAAAGCCTGCGGAGTTTTTCTTTGGAAGCACGGGTTGGAGGAGGAATTTCACCACCATATGAAACCCCAGAGCAAGGCTGGGGTTCTCACAATTAGGTACACCACTGCAGAACTTAACACCTCCTGATGCACAGAGATGGTACCTGAAGCAGGCTGGAGCACACGCTGATGCCCTCAGCTTACCTGTGGCTCTTGTGCAGCTCGATCACTTTGTCCTCCAGCTCTTTAGTGTGGTTTGGCGCAAAGCGGAACTCGCTGATGTAGTCGCTGCCGTACTCGTCGGGGTCGTAGTCGCCGAGCTCCGACTGCACGGTGTAGGAGCCCAGCAGGGCCAGCGTGACGAACGAGCAGGGCAGCCGGCCCGAAACGATGTCATCTCTCAGCTGCAAGCAGAGGTAGTACCTGCAAGGGAGCACCAAAGCAGCTCAGACAGGGCTCCTCCACCGCTGCCCACAAAGAAGCAGCGCCCGAGCACTGGAAAGAGGCCTCGGTTCCAACAGGCATTTGCAGACCGCCAAGCTCAGAGATCTTCAGCCATTTACAAGAACAATAATAATTTTGTAAAAATAATCCCAAAACCCCAAGCTCTTGCCTAATTTATCAGTAGGAACACCTAATTTATCTTTACAAATTTATCTTATAGCAGCATGGAGATCTCTAAATAAAGTTATTACTTTGTTTAGTGACCTAGATGAAGAAATACCCACTAAACATACTAGATTTCTATCACAGACCACTTACATATAAAACTACCTGATAATTCTTTCAGGAGAAAAATGTGATTAAAATTCTTATATACTGTTCACCTAAGAATAGCAGAACTCAAAGTCATTCAAAAAACATAAGCTGTCTCTTTATCAATGTACTGTGCTTTCTCAAAAATACATTTAAGCAGTAAATGCTATTAAAACCAAAGGAATATGCAATGGAAGGTTTTACCAGATACATGAAAACAGGAAAAAAGTGAAGAGCATTGGTTTGGTGGCAAAGGCAGAGCTCCCAGGGGAAATTTAGGAGTCTAAAGAGAAGCAAAGCAATCTTTTCCTTTGTAAGTCCTCTGTTCAATTTTGAACTCTTGGCACACTCCCTCTCTGCACAGTGCCTACCACAGGGGACCCTGATCAAGGCCAAAGGCTTTATGCTACCTGAAAAGCAACAACTAGTCCATAAAATATTAAAAATATATATATATATATATATATATATAGGTTAAATATATATAGGTTAAAAATATTCAAAGGCACAAAACCTCATCACAGATCAAAACTTTTGTGCCTTCTTCCAAGGAGGAAATCAAGTGAGGGTGGTTTTTTTTTTGTTTTGTTTTTTTTTTTTTTTTTTTTTTTTTTTTTTTTTTGTTGTTGCAATGTGAATACGAAACCAAAGAGCAGAGGTACAGAGTGCAGAGCTGAGTGACTTGGAGAGGAGGAAGCAGCTATTAATTACCATCATGTTCTCTATTCCATGCACATCAATTGCTTACTTACTTAAATGATACACAAAATTTGCATATGCATGCTTATTCTCATCTATCCTGGCTTCAGCTGGGAAAGAGTTAATTTTTCCCTAAGTAGCTGGTACAGTGCTTGCTCTGTTTTGGATTCAGTATGGTCATAAAACCACAACATTAGCTTACTTATTTCCTTTCACAGTCATGATTTTACTTACAGTAATAACTTGTTACCTCTGGCAAAAATGGCCATCAGGCATCTTTGAGAAGATTAAAATCAATTCTAAAGAATATACATATTGAAAAAGCTGGGATTTAGGCTTAAACTACACAAAACACTTCATAACACAGAGGATAGACACTGTCTTTTCTGTCAAAATATTGCATATTTTCCATAAGCTCATATGAAAAAGAGATACAACTGGAATATAAAGCGTTTCTTTTCTTGTATAATAGGTGTGTAAGTACTACCAGGAATATCTTTTAAGCCACTTCTAAAAAGGTATTTAATGTTTAAAACACCTGGTAATGTCCTCAGATAGCTGGGCAGGGTCTGGAGGGTAGAATTTCACGTTAAATGCAAACTGCCAAGCACCACCTGAAAAAGAACATAGATTGACTGAAAAGACACTGGAAATGCGAACAAAGATGCCCATGCTATTCAATCACCACCAGACTTAAAAATATCCGAGACAAACAATTAATAAGAACATGTTTTAGAATATTTTTCCCACACATTGTACTGAAGATACTGTATTAGGTCAGATTTTGCAGTTCTTATTTAGCAGGATTTCCACTGAAGTGAGGACTCTGAGTGAGCAGTAATTTATTACTAATACTAAAAACACCTCTCAGTGTGAGAACAAGGTTTATTGAATGTAAGCACCACACAGTCTGTACAAGTTTTAAAAACCAATAACCCAAAGCACAGAGGCACTGGAAACACCACAAGTTAGAGTACAAATGGGCTCTGGAGTAGGGAGATGTGCTGAGGTCTAGCTGCCCACATCAGCTCACAGCATGCTATAAGAGTGCTGCCTCAGCACATAGCTCCTTTCTTCAGCAGACATAAATTATTGTGCAGACAAAACTGCAAGGACAAACAGAGAGCATGGCTGCAAAAGTACATAGCATTGGGAATTCTTATTTAATTTTTTCACTAAATTTAGTTGACCCATGGGATGGATACTGGTTTGTATCTCCAGAGTTGGCAAAATTATTTCTGGAATGCTAGCTTTAAATGTTAAAGTAATATCAGGATTTTAAAATACAGTTGAACATGGTAGGTAAATTTAGAAGTTATTCTGAAAAAAAAGGGTTAGGTTACAGTAGCACATGACTCGAATGCAAATGAAAAGCAGTAATAAAACCCCAAACTGCACTGTTCTTACATGTAACAAGGAAATTTTATCCCATGGGAGGTCCCATTCACTTTGGTCATCCACACATCTAATCTCAAATGTTCAAGGCCAGGCTGGATGGGGCTTTGAGCAACCTGGTTTAGTGGGAGGTGTCCCTGCCCATGGCAGGGGTTGAATTTAGGTGATCTTTAAGGTCCTAACCAATTCAAATGATTCAATGATTCTATGAATGGGAAAGAAGAGTTTTGATGTTCATCCTCAGGAGTTCAGCTCTTGGCAAGATTTTTAAAGTCTTTGATTCTAGGAACTTTTCCATTTTCTTGGGACATAAAAGATGGTGAAAGGAAGATTTGGCTGGCAGCAAGGATGGGGCATGGTCCCAGCAGAGAGTAGACTATCCCCAAGGTGGGAATGCAGCCAGAGGTGACACCTGGTTCCACAAAAGATGCAAGGAACCATGGCCTGTAAATCTATTCCTTGGCAAAAAAAAAAAAAAAATGAAACCTATGATAAAGTCTATTATAATAGCACAGATGGTTAAGACAGAGAAGTAAGCAGTCTTCACCCCATATTTACAGGGTCAGAATGAAAACTAACACTGTGCAAGTTAGTGGGTTATAAGTAGTGGGATGTGAACCAAGAGCCTTTCTCAAGCACTGGGATGAAGTCCCAGAAGTGTGGTCTGCGTTTTGCACAGCTCAGCCAGCATTTAGCAGGACTATATGTATGCTTTGGAAAGCATTATGGGTAACAGCACTCCTTTTCTTCTGTTGGCCTGTTGCAAACTTCTGGGATGAACTGTACAAAGAAAGCAAATTATTACTGTCATTTTTTTACAAATGCAACTGTCCACTGCCTGAAGTCCAAGATGAAACTCTTCTGCCCTGGTTAATCTCTCACTGTCACAAACTTTCATTGTCTATTTCATGGCTTGGGTACATATTAAATGCATTTCAAATATGTGGTGGGGAGCTGAGCTGTTTTACTTGCATTGACCATCTGTGTAACCTGACTCATCGTGGTCTAAAGCACCTTCCTCTCCAGATCCATCCCTTCATGAGATTGTAAAAAGGCAAATGTACATTACTTTGAATTGCAGATCACTTACTTGTAATGAAAATAATACTGGAGGAAAGGGGAAGTTGCTCATAGTAAGTGGGGAAATTTTCCCACCAGTGTAAATGAACCCTTCTAATCTTGGAGAGGGAAAGGATTTCTTTGCCAGGTCCAACCCAGCAAATGTGAACTACCAGATACATTTGTTTGTGAAAGCACAAATGCTGGAAGAGGTCATTTATAAAATGTGCAAAGAAAAAAACAATTACTGACACTTTTCTGCCCACAGAACTCCTACACATAGACATTTTGTCAATTTTTAAAAGTGAGGGGAAGTAAAAAAACACAAGTCAAGTTTTGAGCCCAGCAGTCTCAAAAAGGTTTTCCTCTGAGAGGTTTTTGAATTTCTAATGTATCAGACACCTAGTTATAACAACTTAGCTTTTAAAAATATTAATGTGAATCAGAAACTTGACTGAATGGTCATTTTAGGAGGAGAGATCAATCTTTTGAAATGAAGAAAGGAAAGGTATTTTAGATGGAGTACTATTTTATGTCAGTGAATTATTTCAGTATGGGGCATGAGCAGTGTTTCTGGATATGATATGAATATCAGTAATGCAAGAAATAATTCAAATACATTGCCTAGTCCCTAAGGTTACATTGCTTAATGTCAAACTTCAGGATTTTGCATCACTGCAAATGTCAAGTTGTTTTCAGTAATGCAAGTTCACGTGTTACGAGCATCAGTCATGCTTCACCATCATCACAGCGCAAAATATCTAAAGGATGTACGTAATTCCTTTGCTAAAGACTTGGGACAGGATACAAAAGATGATTGTGAAATATGCTTTGTCCCCGTGGGGAGACATGTAGAAGGGGGCAATGATAACAAACTTACTTCGGATCTGCTTCTTGATTTCCTTGGCAGGGTCCAACCAATTCTGCAAAGAAAATGTTTCCTTTTTTCAATTTGAATTAAAAAACACAATAAGCATTCTTTTTAAAGCAGTGCTATGAGTCAAAGCTAGAACATGTGATGCTCTGCCACTCCTTTCTCCTTGAAGTAGTAGTAGGCAGGGCTAACACTAATTTTCAAATGTGGCCCTGGGTAGAAACAGGATTTTTATTAACCTTCACAGACTTTAAGGCCTAAATAATTTTAAATAAAATAAAAAATACAAATTGCTAAAATAAGCCCATAGAGATGTTTTTGCATAGTATCTTCAGGGAAAACTGAATTTCTACGAACTTGTTAATAAAGATGTGGTTTTGATTGATTTTTTTTTTTTTTTTTCTCCAATCCTGGAAAGGCTGAAAATACTTGCTAGAGGATAAGCAAGTGCAGACTAGGGATGTTTGCAACACAGCAGGCATGAGGGGCTCTCCAGGGAAAACCAGAGGCAGAACACAGCACCTCTGCCCCTATCCACACCATGCAGAGCCCAGTGACTATGCAAGACAAAACCCCTGCTAGAGGAGGTGAAGAATCATCCCAGTGATGTGTTAGTATTTCATGGATGCCAAGGAGCAGATTAAATTCCTCTGGAGAAGGCACACAGCAGCTTGGGGTCTTAGTGCCTCTGCTGTCTTGACCTCTAAGAGAATCAAATTAATATTTAAAATGCGTCAGAGCCCAGAACAAAAAGTTCGCTTTCCCTAGTAAAGTTCCAATTTCTCCAAAGAAAGATAAATAAATGTATCAGACAATAAAACACTAAAGAAATATCAAACAAGCAGAACACAACAATCCCTCCCCAACAAAAACAACCAGTTTGCAGCTGTCCAAACCTGCTCTGTGGTGCAAAACCCGAGCCTGAAGATGTCCAGCTATTGCTGAGCACAAAAGCACATTATGCAGCAAGAAATTAAAGACATTTTAGGGTTTCTGTTTACAAAGATGACATGGGATGTGGGCACATATGTTGTCTGGCTGGAAGTTATGTGACAGAGGATGGAGATGAATTGCTAAGTACTTTGACATTAAAAATATGCATGTTATTGATCAATAAAAGGGGTGGCAGGCAGTTGTTCTTTTAACTGCTCAGCTCTGTAAAGTAACTGGTGTCCTATAAACAATTAGTGCTTCTAAACCACATGTTAATAATGAATCCATGCTTCTTGTTCCCAGAGGAAAGCTTACCTATCTGAAAATGCACTTAGATTTCTGCCTAGCTTTTCTCAAAACTCAAAACTAAGCACATGCTAAAGTATTATCTTGTGCTGGCTTGGACCAAGTATCTGCTTAAGTGATTTTCTGAATTAGATACAAAGAAGTCTATAAAGAAAGGGGAAAAAAGAAACAAAAATATTGATTTCTTTAATATCATATATATTTGAAACAAAAGGAAGCCTAGAAAACACAACTGTTGTTCCCAAAAGATATAAACAGCTAAAAAAGTAGCAGAAGCTCCAGCTCCATCAGGGAAGACCTTTCAGGCCTCACAAAGCACAAAATACCTTCAGCTGGTGAGCTCTGCTGAGCTACTATGCATATTGCTAAGAAGTTTTGTACTGCTTTCTGTTAAAATATTTATCTGAAAATGCCAAAATAACACAACATATTTTAAATTATCCTTTGATACTCTCTCTTTCACAGTACCATGTTCCAAACACCTTCACATTAGATGATCTTCAACACTTGTACTACACAGCTTGTTTCATACAGAAGTTGGAATGCAGGACAGAAGAATGTGATTCACTATTGCTACCAACTGCTTCTGAAGACTAATTTTTTATTAAAATCAACAACAATGCTAAGGTAAAGTCAAGGCTTAGAGCCTTCTCTTATCTTAGCAGTCAGCAGGAACAATCAGGCGTCTCCTACCTATTTGTGTTCCAACCACTATTATTAAGCCATATTTTAGTATTATTTGCTTTGCAGTGTATCTGTAAGTGTAAATCTGACTTTCATCTATGACAGTAAAGGCATAAATCATATTAGAAAGAGCACCAGCTATATTATTAATATCTTCCATGCCATAAATTGCCGAAAGAGTGGGAACCCAAGGAAACACAGGAGATGCTCTTGAGAAGTAGTGTCACAAAAAAACACTCTCTCAAACTGTGTCTATGCAACTTGGCAAGGAAGATAAAACCAACTTCTGTATTGTTTACAGCTGTCTGGTGAGTGTCTCAGGGAGTTCTGATGTTCACATGCCAAAGGCCACCTGCAGTTTTGTGGGTTAGGTTACCTTTTGGTTTTCTGTGTCTCTGTATGTTAGCCCAAAGTAATCTTTTTCCAAAAGGTTCAGATGCTCGCACACTTTGTCGAATAGCACTTGACCTCTGGAACGTTTCTGTGGGAAATGAACAGAAAACAAATAAAAAGATGATTAAGTTTGTAAAATAAAGTAAAATAAGCATTAAAATAACACCTTTTCTGTCAAACCAGTAATCTCAAAATTATTCAAATCAACACATCCATCTTTCCAACCTATTGACCTGGAGCTTCATAAGAATCTGCTGAATGGGGCAAATCTTCTTTTCCTAAAACCTCAAGTCCTGCAGAGTTAAAAATAAGTCATGCCATGTTTCAACTTCTAATAGGAAAATCTCTTCTGTCTTTCAGAAACTGCAGCTTCAAGAGCATGATGAGGTCACACCTCTGCAAACCACAACAATTCTTTGGGTGCAAGCAGCAACAAATATTCTTGGTCATGGATACATGACCAGAAATATTCTTGGTCATGGATTATCAGAATTGTGACTGGGGGGACAATCCACTGAAGGAAAAACCAAACATGGACATACTTTTTGCTTCAGTGTGGACTGATAGATTCCTTCACTAACAGTGTGGATTGGTTTCAGGACCCATTTTTGTCTAATACACAGGGATATGTAGTTATCTACAGAAATCACAGGAAGAGCCTAGTATCTGACTGGGAATGCAGCTGGGTAAAAAAACAGCTTTCCAGTGCCCCACTAACCTTCTTTACTACTGGCATGTCAGATGAGAAGACCTCTCACTGTCAACATCTAGAGCCCTCAGTAGAAGCTTCATAGTATCTATCCTACTGGACAGTATAAATTCAGGTCATCTGGTTTCTCAGCGTTGTACATGAAATTGAGAAAATAATTCTCCAGAAAACCAAGCAGACAGAAACATCCTCTTTATAACATACTCATGCCAACTTTGAGATGTATTAACTGCGATAAAAAATTCAAAATTATTTGGGCCATATTTATCACTGTGTTTCATCACTGCCTGCTTCACAAAGTGCAACTCAGATAAAGGAAAAAATCTCCCCACTTTATTCTGACCACACGCATACATAACTATTTTAGTTGATGTCAGTGCAGCATTTGCTTTATCTGTGGAATACACATGACAAAGAAGCAGAATGGAAACACACTACTTGCTTCAAAGGCAATGCAAGCAGTTGACAAAAAAGAGGAGAGAATGCCACCTTCAAATTTACGTGCCTCTGTCAACAGGGCTGTATCTGGGCTTTGCTTCCAGCCCAGCAGCCTTGGGAGAGGGTAGTTCAAAATCCAAGCTGACATAGCTATGTCAACAAACCCACGGAACACAAGGCTGGCCTCAAACTATTTTAGAAGTCCTAAGCAAGCCAAGATAAAAAAAAAAAAGGGGCTACTGCCTAACACCCAGTGAAAACATCACAAGAGATGATGGAGGGAGTTGTGCAGCATAAACTAATTTGTGTTAAATTTGGTATTTTTACTGTCATTCAAATGGTATATTGGAAAGGACACTGGAAAACATCCTTTATTTTTCTATCAATGGAGAAACTGAAGGGTGGCCTAAAAAATATTCTCCAGCTGAGGATGAAACACCAGGCCCAGAAGTGCATTACAAGTGTATTCCTGTAATTTCATTTGCTGTGCCTTCCAGCATTATTTGAGCAAACAGCTCTAGGGCCTTATTCTGTGTGTCACATGCTTTCCACCCTGTAAGTAGGAAGCATAAATATGCCCCAACGCCTTTATAATGTCAAACAAATGTTTAGTTAATTCTTCACGCCCTGAAATTGAAAGTAGGTAACAAAAGGTTGGTCGTTTTATACTTGGTGCCCTCTGTAGAGAAAGAGGTGGATAAAAAAGTCCTTAATACTAGTGCGTGGAGAGGAATCAACTCAGAAACTTCAAGCCAAAATGGTCACATTTCTGCTGTAAGCAAGCAATGCTGCATTTTGATTATTTTCTTGCTGTTCTACTTGTTAAAAAACTAAGTAGTTGTAATGAATTGAGAAAAACAAGCAGGTTAACTCTAGAGGACACCAGCTCTGAAAAACACTATGTCTGCACCAGAGAACCATTTACTTATATTTAAATTGTGGGACTTCAGTGCTCTCTTAATTTTAAGAGTCACTCAAGGCCAACACAGGAGCTGTTTTATGTGGCCAATCCACAGCTACAGAGATCTATACAGATGTCTGTTTTGAGAAATAGTAGCTAGCAGCTGCAAGGTATGGTGTTTTAACAGGGATTACAGGAAACAGTTGTGCAGGACTGTGCTGTAATAAAAACCAAATGCCCAGAAACCCCCCAGTGCTCAGTATTTCTTGTTTGGCTACATCCTACAAGTGAGAGTAACTACAGCAATCTGGAAAATTTCCATGGCAATGTAACCTCCTCTTCCTCCTCCTGTATGAAGATGCCCAAGCTGTACATAAGTAATTTTCTACAAAATTCCTGCTGCTCAGAATGTGGAAAAACCCTGCTGGTGGTACAAGAGGATATGAGAAATCAAAATGTAACTAACAGTCCCTCCTGGCCAGGGTCTTCTCTTCACCATCATGAGGTTAAGAACTGGTGTGATGGTTGAGGGAAAACCTGACCAAGATCACTTCTCCTGTTTCGTTTGGAAAGAGCCATTAGTGTCCAAACACTCACATTGAGTGTTGGATGAGCCTCACATCATAGCCTCACCACTGCCCCTCATCCTGCCTGTTCCCAGGTCAGAGATGACCAGTGGGAGAAAAATTTAGATGACTCTGATCATCTTGGGAGTTGGAGCAGCCCAAAATGGAGTCACCCCTGCTCTTCTAAAGCAAGAGGAATCCTCATGCCCCTGCACATAGGCAGCAATGCCACTTCATGTTGTGAGTAAGCACACTGTTTTCCAAAGCATCATTGTGCAGAAACAAAATGAAGGAAAGCTGTTGCATAAATCCACGGGAAATTAGGATGTTCATTAAGAAATATATAATTAAAGCAATTGAACAGATCTGTTTTGCCCTTGTTATTTGTTTTTATTTTAGTGCATGCCCAAATTACCCTGCCATGAAAGGCAAGGATATCATTGCTTTGGCAGGGAGAGAATGGGAGAAGAACAGAAAAGTCAACTTACAAATTCATACAGCTCCTAAACCTTCATTTTCCATTATGTTGGAGTGACAAGTCTAAGACGATGAAAGATTGACAGTCTGCTGGTTACTGTGGATCACAAGTTAATGCCAAAAATGCCAGTCAATTCCCAGCAGTCCAAAAATGTAGATCAAAAAATAAATAAAACCAGAAAACTTTGTGCTATAAAATGCTGACTTTATAAATGAAAAAAAATTCTGAAAGGTAAATCTGGCAAGAGCATCTCCTAGAAATATTCTTAGATATTTTTCAGGCATGAATGGGATGAAAGGGAATGTGCAGATGCGAAAAAAGAGTCTCTGCTTAAGCTCTGGGAAAGAAGACATACAACACACAGATTAAACAGTATAAATGAACACAAAGGTCTGGGAGCAAAAACATTACGTTTTTTCACAGCCTCATCCCTACAGGTCTATAAAAGCCAGCACTCTCTCTTGAAGCTGGAATGGGAATAAACACCCTCCTGGTAAAGTTCCCAGTGAAAGGAGTCAGCAGCAGCAACCTTGGCAAGCCAGTGCCTGCCAGCAATTCTTACACACAAGGAGAAGCCTCCTCTCTGCTCACCAGCTTCTCCTCAGTTTTGAAGCTAAGTTTCTCCTTCCTTGAGATGCTGAAGGTCACAAAAGGCTCTCTTGTCCCCTAATTGGCTTCTGTGCCATGCTCAAATCTTTCCACGTCTCCTTCAGTCCATATCCCTCCATCATACACCCATCACCTTACAAGATCACCAGACCAAGACTGTGTGAACACATAGTGAAGAGCTCAAAAATTAAAGTACTTCCACCTTTGCTCTGCCTGAATAACAAGATTATTATCAAGTCAATTATTCTCATTGGCAAACACTTAGATACGACATTCAGTATTTCTTAATGCAGAACAATAATAGGAAAGTTTTCCTTTATTATTATTAAACCCATAAGCTGCAAAGTACTTGTAATAAGCAAACATTATCAAAGTTAAAAAATACAAGCCTTTGTTATCACTTCACGCCACAAACTATGTGTATGGTAATCACAGAACCACTGATTGGCTGAGGCTGGAGGGCACCTCTGGAGATTTCCTAATCCATCCTCCCTTCTCCAGAAGCACCACCTAAAGCAGATTGGTCAGGATTGTGTCCACTTGGGTTTTGAATACCTCCATGGATGGAGACTCCACAGCCTGTGGGGGTCACTCTCATTGTGAATTTTTCTTTTCTTCTGTGTAAATGGGAATTTCTGTCTTTCACTTTGTGTCCCTTGTCTCTTCTTGTGGCAAATGTGCACCCCTGACCACATGCTGGCTCTGCCTTCTTCACTCCACCCTTCAGATATTGATACACATTGCTAAGGTGCCCCTGAGCCTTCTCTTCTCCAGGTTGAACAGTTCCAGCTCTCAGCCTTTCCTTGTAAAAGACATACTCCAGGGCCTTCCTCACCTCTGTAGCCCTTTGCTGAACTCTGTCCAGTATGCTCATGTTTCCTTTGTACTGGGAAACCCAGAATCAGACTCAGCATTTCAAGACTGAGTAAAGGGAATGAATAATCTCCCTCAACCTGCTGGTAACATTGCCCAGGATAGCACTGACCTTCTGTTCTGCTAGGGAACATGACTGACTTCTGTTCACCTTTTTGCCCATCAGGACCCTTGAGTAATAAAACCCTTGTATTGTGACAACCCAGCAACCATGCTCACATGTTACTGTACTGTGTTAAGCCACAAGGAAAATGACACAGAAAATGAGCAACCAACAATTTAATACAAAGATATGATGCTAACTTCCTTGTCCTACAGGTGGTAGTAAGACTCCAGAAAATTCCTTTGGGAGTCAGTAACATATAGGGAAGAGATGAGAAGATTTCAAATGTTATGTGCTGGATCGTGCATCCCAGGCTGGAAGTCAGTTGTGCCAGAGAAAAATTTATCAGGATTCAGATTTGCCACCTCCAAGAGACAAATTTTATTTCTGTGAAAGGCAGTAGGTCTGGCT